GAAACTCGCATCGTTTGCATTAGCTGTGCACTGTAATAAATGAATGTGAGAAGAGTTAGTTGTGGAGATAAGAGAGGTATTAGGGAATGTAGGAAGGATTTGATTTTGAACAATTTTGTCTCGTGTGCTGTTGCGGGTATGAGGGCGGTTATCACTTCCCGGCTGCCCACACCGTGGAAGGTTGTTTCTTGACGAACCTGAAAAGGAAGATGGATTAGTGTTGGTGCGTGACCGCAGAGTCCAAGGGACAACTGCTTCAGGCCGGTCACGCACGGCCTTTTTATGAGAGGTATTCAGAGGATTAGCTCCGTTCTTAAAGGCCCTTAGTGGGCACCCTTACCCAAGGAGACGGAAATCCGTGAGGTAGGGGAGGTGTGACATTTTTAGGGCCGACCTTTTCTAACCCTTCCTTCCTTGTGAGAAGGCAGCATCGCTGCAGATGCTGGTTGTCCGAGGGAAACACCTTACTGCTGTCACACCCCTCTGCAGTCAGCAGTACGACTTCGCCCTCAGACCTTGGGTAGCTGCTTTTAGTCTCATCGTTCTCCAATCGACCTGCCTGGCATGGTAGGACCTGCAGGAACATGTGTTCCAGCCAGTATAGCTCGGTTGGGTCATCACGATAGGCAAGCCCGACCACCACGTCAAGGTAGCAGCTTCGGTCGGGTCATCACGTACTAGCTCTTACAAGACCATTAGATTAATTACTGGGGAGAGGATTTTTACGAAATTAAGAGGACAAAAAGCAAGTCTCCGGCGCTTAAACCTGGCTGGTGGGTTATGGAGAATCCAATTGGGAAAGTGGAGGAACCCTCCTTCCAAACCAACGGTGCACGTGATATCCAGTATCCTGAGAAGAGAAAAAGCGCTCAGCCTTGTTTTTGTTTGCCGGCTACTATGGTACTGTATCTCCTTATGTTGCTACACTGATCAGTTACAACGTAGAACTTCGTACGTACGTACATCAGTTCAAGTTGCCATACCACATCAACACAGAGATGCAATTGTCGATTCAAATTCCATACTAGTAGAGGTAGTAGAAGTATTAATAATAATCGGAAATTTTAGAGTTCGACGATATTATTCAAGAAGTAGAATCTAGTAAAATAGACTTGAAAAGATAGAGATAAATTGATGAAGAATTAAAAAATTTTAGGATTTGAGAAAATACAAAGAATGAATGCACGTGTGCCATTGCAAACGGTTTTGTGCCATGTCATTCAGGTTCTCTAGCAATCGATTATTATCATCTCGCAGACCCCAAGCAGGTAGTCGATACCTAACAACATGACTCAGTCCATTTGTCAGTGACTTCATGGATTTGTTCCATGTTTTGGTCTGTCTGCCCCTAGCTTTCGTCCAACCTATTCCTACGCCGCAAAACATAGCTCGACGAGGCAGTCGGTGGTTAGGCATACGTAACACATGTCCCAACCATCTCAGCTGATGAAGTTTCAATACTCCATTTATTGATCTACCATCCTTAACTAGTACTCGGTTGTCCCTTGATACACCAACAATGCTTTGGAGACACCAGTGATCTAAAACCAGCAACCTACGAATATCCTTTACTCCTACTGGCCATGTTTCACAGTCTTAAAGTAGGACGGAGCGAACTGCTGCGCAGTACACTCGTCCTTTTTTAGCAAACGGATGTCTCGCCTACGCCATAAGTGACGCAAGTTGGCAAAAACCGATCGAGCCTCCTGTATCCATGCTGAGATTTCGTCATTCACCAGGCCATCGGCACCAATGAGACTCCCCAGATAAACGAAGCGGTCTACACGCTCGACTGCTTCACCCCCCACCACTTGTTCGGATGCCGATGTAACCCAATCTTGAACCAACATTTTGCATTTCGACGAGGAAAGCCGCATCCCCAACTTGCTTGCATGAAATACTCACATAGGATCCGAGTAGTGTCATTGATATGATTCCACCATGTTAAAATAAAGTGTGTTCTTGATTTACTATTCGTGTATCTGGAAGCCACACTGCCGCTTCCCGTGGCCTTTCTAGTGCAGGTATAGCATTAACTTCTAAATCAGAAGTAGCTCTCTTAGACTGGGTCCCAGTAGACAGTCGCTTGTGTGCTGTCCGACTAAACAGGACAGTAAGGACTCGGAAAAATAGGGTCTCTCGTCGATGTCTCTTTTTCGTCTCTGCCTTCGCTACCACTGACTGCAGTTCAGACGAGGTAAAAGATGAATTTTACAGGATGCTTTCCAACCTCTAAAAGGTTGGGCGCTCTGATACAGTAACAGTAGAGGGTGACTTTAATGCTCAAGTAGGTAAACTAAGTGAAAAGAAAAGACACTTTGCTGTATCTTATGGTGTCGTGGCTGATCGGACTGATAATGGCGACCGTTTGCTGCAACTATGCTCAGATAGCCTCCTATTTCTAGCAAATACCAACTTTAAGCATAAGGAAAAACATCTTTTGACATGATGACCCTCAAAATCGTCTCAATGCTGGACCCAACTAGACCACTTCGCTCTCAGTTACCGATGGAGAGGCTCAAAACTATCTCAGAAAAGGATAGTAGTATCCCAACTCTGGATATTGTATCGATGGGCAGAACATTTCAGAGGTCCATTCAACTATAGACTATCTAAGGCGAGGGAGAGCAGCAAGGCCTGACAGGCTTACCCCTAACCTTTTTAAGGACGGTAGTCCAGTTGTAGCAGTTAGATTGACCGAGATCTTAGGTAGAATCTGGGAACTAGACGTAATTCCATCTAACTGGTCTCAGTCGCTGATTGTCCCAATTTATAAGAAAGGATAAAAGTCCTCTTGTGACATTCACAGGGGAATCAGTCTAACTATTATAGTATCGAGAATATTGGCCTTAATAATACTCCGACGCCTAATTAGAGCTCATGAAGAGCAGACTAGAGAAAACCAGGCTGGTTTTCGATTTGGACGTGACTGTATAGACCTTATTTTCATACTACGACAGGCCCTGGAACACAAATACACATTTGGGCGTCCGACAAGGGTTGTCTTCCTGGACCTTGAAGCAGACTACCAGGTTGGGGGCCGCGATACGATCGTTAGAGACTTTGAATGGCATGGCTCATAATAGTTTGCAATTCAGCAGGTGCATTTACTCTTTTATTTCCTTTAATTCTAATCCTCTGAATTCCTCATCACCTATATTTTTCCCTTAATTTATTTCATTGGATTATATTACTTTGACCCCTGGTCGTCTTTTAAACCGCTAGTACTTCCATTATATCTACTACTATGGGATTCTAAATTACCATTGTATCTCTGCTAATGTCGTATGGCAACCTGAAGGGATGTACGTCCGTACGAAGTTCTGTATCGTAGCTGACTGACTTGCTGACTGACACATCAGTTATCTATTTATCTACCACTTCAGTCAGCAGAAATTCAACTAGTTATCGGTAGCTAACTTTCACATTAGATCATAACAATGACGACTAGCTTCCAGTAAATATGAGCACTACTTCAAAGTTATCTGTACCCCTAACTTCAATATATGTACATCTTCAACTATCATGTTTTTACCAATGTTTTAGTACCGAATGGATTATGGTAATTGCTTAATAATTGGTATATCACTATCCTAGTTTGTGGTTTTTTTTTTCATAATTTTTTTCTCTTGCTTATTTTAGATGTCATTAACAGATCAGCTAAGGGCCTTAGCTGTCCCCATTACGTCGAGCTATGTAGTTGACACTGTTCGTCGCAAGTCTTTGATTTACGAAGATGCTTCGAAAATCGACACTCAATCTTGTTATTCAAGCTGTAAGTTTATTTTCTACATGTTATTGCTTTATATAGGTTTAAAATCATTTGAAAAATTATGCGAAATGGAGAACGCTTTTACTTCATTTAGCAGTACATTGTTTTCTGTGACATCATGTAATTTGGAAATGTGCAACCTTTTGCCTCAAGAAAAAACAAAACTAGATAACGAAATCTCCAAGTTCCTATGCTACATTTCTTCTTTTCTTAAGCATTTTGTTGCTGTGCAGGCTTTAGAATGGCTAGTATTCAAGTAGGTTTATCAACATCTCTATTCACTGTTTAGATTTCAGATTCATGTGCATTATGTTGAAGATTTTATTCGATGCATCATTCCATATCATGAAACTGGTCTGTTCGTCAAGTTCATTCAAATTTTAAATTTTCAACAGTTACCTTCTTGTTTCCAATGGTTGAAACCATATGCGGTATGTTAGTTAGTTTTCCTTGTTTATATTCATTTATTCTGTAGTCGCTTAAATTACTGTGACGTATGTTCATCTGTCAAAACTGTCACACTGCATCATTACATTGTCACTAAATATTAAAATAGTATTAGTGACAGTAAAAAATTATTAGGTATGGAGATTATGATTTGAACAGAATAAATAAATTCTCTTAATAAAAGGTATAAGGTGACTGATTCCAAAGGATCTGAGGAGGCACAAGTAATGAATACATTTGTGTTATTGCAACTGATTCTGATCCATATCATTCCACACCCAATCATGGGTCATTCGTCAACAACGCTCATGGACTGGTTTAGACCCTGCGACCGTTCTTCCAACCTATTCACACGCATCGAGATGGGCGGTTTCAAGATCTACGTAAAGCAAGTCGTGATCACCAAATTTCGATAAAGATTCGTTTTATCAACTGATTTTCCAACCTCGTCTCGTACGCTGAGTCTTGGTGGACAGTCCTAAGGGACCTCAGCAATGCTTTAAACACATTGCACAAATCCATAAAGTCACTGACAACTGAGTTGAACCATGTTGGTAGCTGTCGACTGCCTGCTTGGGGCCCATGAGATAATAGTAGTCGATGGTTAGACACCCTGAATGGCAGTGGAAATGGCGCAGGTGCATTCATTCTATGTGTTCTCTGAAATTTTAATCTTCTGAATCCCTCATCACCTTTATCTTTTCCCTCTAAGTTTATTTCACTAGATTCTACCTCTTGAATAATATCGTCAAACTCTAAAATTTCCGATTACTGTTAATACTTCTACTACCACTACTAGTACGGGATCTGAATTGACGATTGCATCTCTGTGCTAATGTAGGATGGCAAGTTGAACTGATGTACGTACGTACGAAGGTCTGTGTTGTTGACTGACTTTAAAGGCATTTATGATCATGTGCTATCCTATATTTCGATGCCGCATTGCACAGTCTTAAAGTAAAGCAGAGTTCTTACTCAGTATACTCGCCTCTTTGTTTGAAAGACAAACGGTTTTTCATTTGAGCAAATACTGTTGCCCAGGACGATCAAAAGAATCTATGTTTTGTCAGCGTCTTCACCAAACAGGATTATATCATCTGTACATCTTAAATCAATAATTGGCCTCCTGACAGGTCAATCCCTGAGAAGTTAGGTGAAGAAAACGTTATCGCTAAAACAATATAAATGTTAAAATTGAGTTCAAATCGAGTTGGTAAGCAGCTATGACCAACATTACTCTAGAATGACAGTTCCAAATGCTGTTACCCATTGGTTTTAACTTGATCAGTAATTTGATTGTAAGGAGCTTTTATTAGATATCTTTTACTAGTAAACAACAACCGAACCTTCCAATCCACTGAGCTAAATGCTACCTTGTGGTCAAGAAACTTCACTATTATCGTTAGGTACGCCGTAGTTCAGAAACCTTATGAAGGACTCATCTTTTGGACACTTATAGTCAAAATAATCCCTCTATGGTCATCACAAGAGGATTATAATGTTTTTTCATTAACTGGGATTATCAACGACTGATAACAGTCAGATAAGATTTTGTCTAATTTCCAGTTTCTCACTAATATTCCAGTCAATCCAACTGCTATGCTGGACAGCCGTCTTTAAGGATTTCCGTAGCTAATCTTTTAAGACCCACTGCTCTCGTTGTTGATTAAGGGTTGAGGTAATTATATCGATATTAATTACGATTTTCGCAAAATTGTTTCTGGCTTATAATTTCATAGCAATTCGATAGTAGAGACGTTTAGTTAACTAGAAGATGGAATTTGTAAGAACTATTTTCATGATCTGCAACTTCACATATTTGAACAACTATTTGACATAATCAGTAGTAACTTGTTTCTTTGACCATAACTAAATAGTTTATCATTTTTAACTATTAAATCACGTGCTTAAATACTCTACTTTACCTACCGATGCGTCGTGAATATACTAACATAAACCGTTATAAAATATACCGTGGATCATAGCTTTAACTGAAACAACAGTTGGTTTATTTAAAAAAGTCACTGTTGGTTGAGTAAGTATTCATTACTTGTAATTCGACTACATAGCAATTCTCTTTATTTTTAGGAAAGTGGTAAAAGCATATCACGACAGGAATTCGCTCGTATGTGCATTCGTGAACATACCCTTATTCCATTTATATGTACAACCATCCTTAGTTATACAGAAGTAAGTAGTAAACTAATTTTTAAAGGCTATTTTTATTCATCGCTCATCAAACTTCTGGTGTTTTTGCGTCGCTTTTTACTAGTTATGAACTCCTATTTTTAAAGTTAACATTTTCATACTCCATTAAGTTCTAACATAAATTTAAATTCCATCTCTTTGTTTTATTAATTGAGGCTGAGAGCATCCAGTGCAAATCGTCTTTGTGTAGGTCATTTATAATTCTTAACAGTTCTTATGTACTAATCATATAACACTTCGTCTATTTATATCAAACTTCTTCAATGGAATTAAAACGGAGACTTAGTTGTAAATAGTGAGCTTATTGTTATTAGTAAGTAAACTAGAGGGTCAGATGTATACTGTGAAGAAAAACACAGTAAACTTGACCAATATTTCCGTAATTGGGAAAATTCATTCAGTTCAGATGAATTTAGTGTTTTTCAATGAGTTATTAAATCATTCATTTGATATTTTCATTGTTAATTTCAGTGATAATAAAAATATCACTATTGGATACTGAGTAACATAGTTATATTTCTTTTGCTACTATCTTACATTCCACCTGTTTTCCTAGTTCTTTGAATTTCAATTACTTATAGTTCCAGTTACTTGTTAACATATTACCATTTACTTACTTTTAGTGTTGTCGCAATTTGGTACCAACAAGACTTAATGATATGACTAATTTTTTCTTGGCAATTGTAACCGCATTGTGTGATTCTGGTGCTCCTGAGAAAAAACTTATCAAGATACTAGATTCTTTCCAGGATGTTATAAAGCAAGGATTGCGGTCTAAAAATATAGTTCCTTTTCAGTGTGCCACACTTTTGGTCGTATTACGTTTCAGTTTGAAGTTGATAATTAATCAAGAACTAGTTCTCGATTGGATATCCTGTATTTTGAAGAAAACTCGACCTTCTTGTGAGTGGGAGTCAATGCGTATTATTATCCAACTGATGCGAAATCAGCGCATTCCTTTGTTACCTCCAAAGCTTACAGAGCGTCAAAATGTTTTACTTTCCAAACTATCTGTTGAAGAACAACGTGCAATTGAAGAAGAACTGTCGGCGATAGTCAATGAATGTAGCGATCCTAATAAATTAGCGGCAGAATGTATTCAGAAATTCGATTATGTTAGAAAAGCTACTCAGGTTTGTTATGCACATTTATAAATTTAATGTTCTTGATTTTATTATCCCAAATTTAATCGAAATATAGACAAACTTTAGATTCTTTATTTCCTGGTTATCAAGGTTATGAATTTAGGAAATCCGGTTAGTTTACCATTAGTTTAAAATCACCCTCCCTTAAATGAAATTTCTGTCTGGTGCTTTCCTCGAAGCTATATATTGTTACTCTTTAGTAATTTTACTGGAAAAAAATTTCCCGCTTATAGTTTGTTCATTGAAGGTTCCAAATACTCACGAATTTCGAGTGAAGTTGGTTATCATTTTCCAGTTGTTTATTCCGACCACCGCGTAATCATCAACAGTCTTCAAAATCATTTGATCTAGTTTTAGATGGTATATTTATGAGCTGCCGAAATTTGTTGATAATCAGTATACCACTCATATTTTGAACACTGTCATCTACTGACATGGATATTTATTTCCATAAAATCTTTTTCAGTTTATTGACGTTGACATGAAACATCTTGGGTCAGTAACAATGGAACAGAAAACTGCTGACGATATTTTATTGAAAGAAGATCTCAAGTTGAAAGTAGATGAGATTCACGCATTTTTGTCAAGCATCCCTAATGTAGGCTGTTGTGTAATGAATTGCACTTCGTCCTGTCCTAGCGAACCTCTGCCGAGATCTGAGCATTGGTTGTCTGATGTGTTACTTGAAATCTTTTCTGATGAATGTTTTAATAACAATGATTCTGAAGAGCATAAAGTACACTATTCAAAAGCAGAAATACAACGTTATATTCGATTACTGAAATTGGTTAAATCTTCCATAAAGATTCACGTAGATTCAAGTAAATATACTCAAGGGCTGGTAGTTGCATCAGGTACACCGAAACCTAAATGTTCCCGTAAATCTATATCGTCTTCATATGGTTTGTTACAGAAAGGTGTTGACAAAGGTTAGTTTTTCCTGTTTTACTCAATTTATCATATAAATTAAGCATATATAATATTTATCTAGATAAAAATTGAATTGTAACTTTAGGAACAAATTCTTGTGTTTACCGTGAAACGTTGGTGCAATATTTAGTTACCAAGTCCTCAACAATATGGTTGACTGTCTCGAAGATTCTTCTATAACTGCACTAGAAGTCTAATTATTTTATTGGAGATATGTTGTAGCTTCAAACATCTTACCAATAATGCACTTGTAATCGACCTATTGGAGGTCACTATATCCTTAGTTTGCTTCAATAATTCTAATAGCATAGAAGTTATACTTTATCCACATTCTAACTGTTCAATACACTTGAAACTTTTCTATTTGTTAGTTAGCATCGGTTTGTCCTGTTTATTCTAATTATTCACTTTGATTTTGATACTATGACAAGTGTAACAATATCTTTGCTTTCTAGTTCTACCACTCTTGGCTGCTTGCTTATCACACCCCGCTGCTACTATTCGCGTAGAGGCGTACGATATTTTACACTTTTGGTTAAAAAGTGATTTATCAAAAGATATGGAGCACACACCGAATCTTTCAACTTTTTGCTCAACTCTCGATTTGACTTCGGATTTTGGAGTGCAGATAGATGAACTGTTTTCGGAAGAAGTAAGAGAGTTGCTCCTAGGTGATCCACTCTACTCATTAAACAAAGTGGCTTCTCTCTTGATCAAGGCTGTTGTTCGCCTGCTATTCAGGTAAGTATCTGCTTTCAGGGATTTATTTTTCACACCAATAATACACTTCAGCTGTCGATTAGCGCTGTAAGATTCGGTAAATCACTGCATGTGTTAGAATTTTTTTGATTTTTGGCATTTTAGCAGAACGGAAATAAAATACCACAACAAGGACGTCACTAAATTTAAGTAGGCTGATAGCAGCACGTTCTTCGGTAAAACCGGTTAGTGTATAAGTCCGTATTACTTAAAGTCAGTCAATCAAACGTAGAACATGGTACGTATGTATATCGTTTCAAGTTGCTAAAGCCCATTAGAACAGCAAGGTAAAATCGTTAGAGCGAATCCCAAAGTAGTAGAGGTGGTAACAGTATTAGTGGTAATAAAAAAGATTAAGGATCAAAGGTACGATTCAAGTAAATACTAGTTAATGAAATAAAAAATTATTAGGAATTCAGAAACTTAGGACCTGAGGAAGTCAGAAGCTATAGGCCTGCGCCATTGCAAATGATTTTTGGCTATGTCGTTGAAGGTCTAATCACTGGTTACAGTTATCATGCGAACCTCAACCAGGTAGTCTACGTCTGGTAAAATAGTTCAGTCCAACTATTATTGACTTCATGGTCTGGCGCCGTGTTTTGTTTTGACCATCCCTAGCTTCCAGTTTACTACATCATACATCGTTCAGCGAGGTGGGCGGTCCGTCATCTAATTTCTGATGTTGCAGGGGTTAAACCACTAAGCATTGTTCAGATTACAAACAAAACTTCATAGGAATCGGTTTAGTGATTATGTTTTAGAATGAAACAACACGTGATAATGATATCCTTTTTAGTTTAATTTTTCTTTTTCATTGATTTATAGTCAAACATTAAACCTGGATATCTCAGAGCCTGATTCAGAAAGTAAATTTTCCACTGTCTGCTGGAAGGTCGGCCTCTGTTTACTAAATGAGGATACCATCGGTGATATTCCTCATATTCCACCTAATCAGACAGAAGAATTTGTCAAAGGCTGGTCTGGGTTTCTAAATTTGATACAGTGCTCCAACGTTCATTTAATCGATTTGCATCAAAAATGTTTATCTCGTCTTAATGCAGCATTATTTACATCGTTAGAACATTCTACTCTCTCAATGGATTCTAATAAAGGGAGGACATCAGTTTTGCGGAAATCAACTGGCTATCTGCAAACTCTTAACAAAAACGTACCGAACGCAGATCCTTATCATGGACCTCAGTTTAGTGTACTTGATGCTCTATATAAACTTGGTCACAATAACGAGCAGTTTGATTTTGATTCTGTTCAAAAAGTATTTTCTCGTGTAAGTTCTACCTTCAACCTTTTGCTATTAAGAAGAAATCATATGAAAAAAGCAATTGAGCAAATAAGTTTTTGTAATTCCGCAAAATGAGAATAATTGTGTATTATATCAGTTATGTTTTAATGCTTTAATTATTAACTTAGTTTAAACCATATCTCAGGTAAAACATTTTTGCTTATGCGAATATAGTTGCGGTACTTATGACATAAAACCAGGTTTTGAATGGAACTGAGTGGAAAATTATCTAATTAGGACTTAAAACTAGTTCAATTAATCTATTAAAGTGTAGCTTACTGTTATGAAATCCCAACATGACATTTGTCGATCTGAGTACAATACGAATATAAATTAAAATATTAAAATACTATTTTTTTACATGTGATAAATTGCAGGAGCTTCTAGCTCACCAACAGACGTATTTAACATTCAATTCTGTTTACACAATTGCTTATATGTTATATACTATTGGTATCTTTCGCTTACTCATAATAGTTTTACGTTTATTTATAGTAAACCTTATCAATTAGTGTCATCATGTTTTATTTCAGCTTCATCTAAATGCGGTCCATTTCGATTATTTGTTCATAAAATCAGATCCGTCAAGAACAGTTGGTAGCGATAGCAGGTCACTATTTGCTCGAGTTGCAGAAGCTCGGTGATTATTTTTGTTTTTTGTTTGTACTGTGTTTTGCTATCCTTATTTATTGAAGTAAATTGATTAGATTCAGTTGACAGTCCATGGAAAACTGTATAGGGGTTATAAACATGATCAAATTGTTTCCTGTGGTGGTTGACTTTGTTTAAACTGTTTACTGTGATTATTTTACTGTTCCACAACTCACAGTCCCTATTGCAGATTATTTTCCAATCATTAATTTCTAAATCAACTATGGGTATCGTTGACTTGTGACCGATAAATTCAGCCATGCATTCTGTATGTTGAGTTTTCTGCGTCAACTGTACGTGATGCTTATTTTTTGATCCCTTAAACTCAGTTACTAGTATCTTAATGTCGCCAGTGTTTAACTACTATCCTAGGTTTCCAAGCATTTGATATTCACATGCCATTTCATGCAACCTAATCGTTTTATAAATTTAAATAGAGCAAGACGAACAATATATTCTGAATAAAATGGATTCATTATATTTCAGGGTTCTTCATCAGCTGCAAATGGCTTAAATATACATTGGTAATATTATTATAAGAATTTATAAGAATATTCTTCAATATTTGAACTAATACTAAAATTGGGCGTCAAGTGTATTTAATAAACAAGTGACTGACATTCATTCACGGAATATCAATTAATAATAAAAACAAATTTCCCCATGCACATGCACACCCGTTTATTTTTCACTTAATCGACTTTTCATGTTTCACATCTCAGTCGAATAATGTTATCCAACTTATTAAAATCAATATATGAATATGATGTGATGAACATTTAGTGTAAACTTGATTTGATTGTTTAATGTTATATATTCTTTGGTAATTTTGATTTTGACTTCGAAGAGGTCCAGAGCAGATAGCAGGGCAAAGCGCTGGAATTATCTAAAATTTCAGTCGATGAGACTATTACAAAAACAGCTTTCACAAATAATGTCTTTTCATAAGTAGTGTGTGTTGCCTGTTTATTATTTTGAATGCATTTGATGCATGCATGTTGTGTCCGCTCTCCATTAAATGTTTAATGATCACATTTGTGAAAGCTTTACTTCCTTTTGGATACAACTTAGAGGGGGTATGTACCGAAAACCTTGTTGATGCCGTTCTTTGCAATTTCATTTCACAGATATTGCTAATTTCGTCTTTTTTTTACTTAACTCTTTATTTTCGCATGATCGCGTTTTCACGTAAACAATCCATTTTAAAATGTTTTTTATTAATATAGAGAATCTCGTCGACGTAGTTTACGATCACGAAGAACCAGAGAGGTTGGTTGTGAATCATCAAATGATGATAAGATGGCTCATTCAGAAAGAATTCGTTTACGATTTCTTAGTATGTTACTATCTGTTCTAACTGAAGCTGTACCACGATTACAATCATTTGAAATGACATCTGCGGTTCAGAATAAATCAAAATCTGTTGATTTGAATACATCAATTACAGCTGTGGATACAAAGTCACCAAATATTGACATAAAGAAGATAAAAGATCACAATTTACCGGTGAATGATTTGATCACTCCATTAGTGAATCACCTTACAAGGTGAGTAGAATATAGGACTGCTTGTTGTCGTATTCATACGAAGTCAGATATTTAGTTTTTCTTAGATTTATTTTCTAACATTACGGACACTAGATTTGGGTGTTATAGTTTTTGGTATTATAATTTTTATATCTATATATATATAAACTAGTTTATTTATGTATTAGGAGTGTTTTTGTTTTTCCTCACGCATGAAAACAACCATTTCACTTTAACTTCATAGTACATAAAAATCTCTATAACACTTATTAATCCAGTGGATCGCAATCTTTCCTATGAGTAAGGGAAACTAACCATAAGTTTTTCATTACAAAATTTTGTTCAGAATTTATCCCCCCCCCCATAGCGTCTAATACAGTCAGGCCTACATATGGGTCATCACAATATTTGGGCGAACCAATTAGTTTATTCTTCTTGAGTTACACTTTTGACTTCAAGTTTTATAATCAAAGCATATTCATTCATTCGTCTGATTCAGATTCAGATCTTGGGCTACCACACTAACATCGTCAACAGTAAAGCTCAAACACTTTCTAATAATGATGTGAAAATCATACATACTGTTTATTTGAACTCAGTAGTTCAGTTAATAACGCATTGTTTCAGGTGATAAGTAGTGGGTTCGAGTCCAAAAGCGAACATCAAATGTGAAGTGTAGGTATATTCGTCTGGTGAATCCTAAATAGATCGAAACATTTGTCCTGGATTCTACTACTTGCCACTAGTTAATCAGTTTTGTTAAAAATACTTGTGAATAAATAGCAGTATTGATACAATCAACACGGGATGTACATATATCAACAAAAACTGGTCGAAATCCAGTTCTTAATATCAACAATGGGATAACTTGAACACTTATTACTAATGTATGGTCACTCACTGTCTAAGATTGTTTACCTTTGTTAGGAAATCTATTCACCACATAGTTTTCTCCTAAATTTAAAGCAAAGATTAGTAACTGGAATTATCAATTGTCGCTAAGCGTCGTAAGAATAAGCAAAGTATTTGTTGTAACCCTATGAATAATTTAGCTAGATAACTAAGCTTGCTATCATCTTGAAAATAACCTACACTGAGAATGACGATATAAGTTTATGAGTTCTGTTTGTTTTAAAATGATTACTATCCTGATATTACATATGTTTGTAGCATATTAAACATGGAGCAGAATTTGAAACAAATGGAATCAAGTACAAATAAAGCAAGCATTTCTGGAGAGTCTGATACAGATAGTGATATGGAGTCGTTACCTGGTGATTTGTCTGATATTCATGTGGATCAAGAAGCAGCAAATATGTTGGCTAATGAAGACACCTGTATTCGGCCACTGTTACGTCAATGCATTTATAAACTTTTAATTTGTATCACAACTATATTTACTGAAGGTAATCGTTTTAAGCGACTTCGTAAAAAACGTTCTTTTTGGAGAACACCAACAGACCAATCAGGTTTACTGTACGGTTTGACAGCTGCACAAGTTGCTGTGGATCCAATTTTCCTTTGTCTCACTGTTTACCCTGACTGGATATCCCTGCATCAACAAATTCTACTTTGCTTTATTGAACTATCTGTCATGTTTCCCGTAAGTTTGCACTTATATTTGGTAGTTAGTTTGCCATGACAGTAAGATTTATTGGTTCCTTTTAACGTAGAGTTAGTTAGTGCCTGTCAGACTAAACAGTGGTTTAGAATTTAATAATCCACACTCACACTGTTGTCCATCATTACCATTAGGATATTAAGTAACTGTTTCGGGTTCGGTGAATGAAATTGGGGCATTTCAAAAAGCTTGATAATTCTTAACCTAATTGAATTAGTATTTTAGAAATTGGTGGATAGTATTTAGTCAGAGAGTTAAATAGCTGTATGCATTAAGGGCGAATCACTTCAGTTGTTGTTGTTGACTTTTCTCGGTTTTCACTCCTATCTGTATTTGTGTTCAAACTTGAAAGCAATTTCGTCTTTTATTGATATAATTTTCTTATTAACAAGCGCATCTTGTAAGGTGTATGATATGTAAATTATATTTCCGAAAATTGACTGACAAACTGTTTGGTAAAAGTTTCTGTTGAATCAAAGCTGGAGTTTGCGTGAGCGGCCCGCTTGAACTATCTTCTTCAATTACTGTTAAATGTAAACATGTATCGCGATTGTGGTGTAATCACGATTCAGGGTTTACATGATTGTTTGGTATCACTACATGGTTTCACTATTTACCATCAGAATCGGTCAGGCAATAAAAAAAGTGACGATGGTGTGTTGATTTTTGTAAATATGAACTGGTGTTGATCTAATTTAGCATGTTTTAGATTTTAAAACGACTTTATTATCTGTCTGTCCATCAGATATTTTCAGTCATTCAGATGCGTATATAGGCCTAGTTCTCGTTAATGATACGAGGACAATTGTATTATTCGTGCTCTGCATCAGTTCAAGTTACCATACCACATTAGCACAGAGATGCAGTTATCAATTCAAATCCCATAGTAGTAGAGGTAGTAGAAGTATTAACAGTCATCGGAGAGATTAGGGTTCAAAGATATTATTCAAGAAATAGAATCTAGTGATTAGGCATATGTAACACATGTCCCAGCCTCCTCAACTGGTGAAGTTTCACTACTTCATCTACTGACTTGCCATATTTACCTAGTACTCGTTTCCTAACAACAGCATTGCCTACTTGGTTTTCTCAGGATATACGAGCATTGCTTCGGAGACACCTATGATCGAACACAGGCAACCTACGAATAAATTTTACTCTGACTGGCCATGTGTCAAAGCCATAAAGTAGGACCGAGCCAAACACTGTGCAGTACACTCGTCCTTTGGTCAGCAAACGGATATCTCGCCTACGCCAATCGAGCCTTCTGTATCTGTGCTGATATTTCGTCTGTGAATAGTCCACCAGCACTGATGAAACTCCTGAGATAAATGAAGCGGTCTACACGCTCAACTACTTCACTCCCTATCACTAGTTCAGGTAACGACGCAAGCCAATCCTGATTCAGCATTTTGCATTTGGAGGTGGATGACCGATTACTGGCTCTTTACATCCCGTGGAAATGATTCAGTTCTTGTCGCTCATTGAATGATGGCTTGTCGTTAATAGTTTTATACAATCTTTCTAATCCCCAAACTGTTAATTCTAGCCTTAAACATGAACAGCACTTAAATATCCTACGGGAATTCCAAAAATTTAGCGCTGTTTGAGATTCTGTAATGAAACTTTCGTTAGAGATCATTTTGGTGTTGGTTTTTCTTCTGATCTCTATTGGTCCCATGTTCTACTGATGTTGAGGAAAGTTTTCTGTTTGGCATATTATTTAAAGAGGCAATGTGCTTTCGTCATTATTCGACATTTATTTTTACCATTTGTAAATTTTTCCCTATTGCTGATTGTCTTCTACTGTTCCCTATTATTCTTTCTCAGACTTTTCAGAAAAGATTTTGGTATGTTGTGAAGAATGCTCAAGGTAGTTATTAGGGTTTGAAGTGAATCTTCTGAGGTCATTAATAATACGGCTGTGCATAGGTGTTTAAAATCTAACAAACTCTTGGTGTTATTAGATACCAACCATCCATTCTAACCACATCTTGTTCTCTGTTTATCTTCTGGTGGAACATGACGTCAGTACAGTCGAATCCATACACGTAAAGAAAGAAATCAACATTCTACAATCCTTTATTCAGCAAATATACTGTGCAACGAAGAGTTGGTAACACCTAACCTAATCAGAAATTTATATTCCTAAACATGTTCGTAATTTTAGAAAAATGCATAAATTTTCATCAAAATAAGAACCATTTCATCTAGATTAGAGTTAGCTTGTTCACTCAATTATCTAATGTATATATGTATACAGCTTATTGGCTTTTTCGGTTGATTTCGTGAAGCAAACTTGTTGAAATATTTTGTTCTAAGAATTCCATAATATTTAATGTGGCCATTATTATTGTCTATATTTTAACATTGTCGAAGTGCAGTTAAATTATTTTCATTTAATTTTGCTCTTTATTTTCTTACAAAGTTACTTTTTGTGTCTTTTTTTAGAATGTATTGTGTCATCATTTAGTGTCTTTGGTCCAATGGGTTGCGTGCAATCGTCAGCTTATGCGCTTAGATAATGCTCATAATCTTAGTATTTTGGGACGTCTAATATTAGTAACTGTTCCTGCGCTTATTCGAGCATCTTCCGAACAAATTTCTGCTGGTCTTTATGTGCTCTATCTCTTTGTTATCAGATTTCCTGAGTTCTCCACGAATTTGGCTCGTCGTCGTTTAGCATTTTACACGGTGTTAGTACGTGGTTTATCTCAAGTAACTGGACCATTCATAACAAGTAGTGAACTAAATCAGTCTATTCCACCAAAGAAAGTTACAGATGAAATAAAGCCAACTAAAAAGGTTGAGGTAGCTTCACGTGGAGGTGATAGTAAAATTTCATTACGACCAAAAGAAAGTTGGATTGGAAGTTGGCTGTGGGTTACATCACTTGTATTCTTGAATAAAAATTGGCAAACACAATCAGTTGGTAGGCTCTGAGTAGTATTTTATTTTTTTATTTTATTTTCCACTAGTTCAATTTGGTCTCAGTATCTCGAAAACATTTTTGATTATGCTTGATAAATTGAGATGTTGATCAGTCATCAGAAGACAATGAATCTGATTTCAAGTTTTATTATTCCAAGTACATATGGAAATTCGATAGATATAAGTAGCGTTTAGATTTTCAGCTTTAGCTGGTTAGTGTATGTTAATCATTATCACCGTTGAGTTATTTAGCCCACTATAGCCTGCGCCTATCGTCCGGTCTCATGCAATATTTAGTTGTTACCATTAATGGACAAATACATACGATTATTTCAAGTCAGTTTCAGCTCATGCTACTCTCTTTTGAACGATTTACATTTGAATCTTTTCCAAAAACATGTTTGCCTCCGGATAGTTATACTTTATGCAGTTAGTAAGTGGTAATAGTTTTAATGTTTAAGTGAAATGGGCTTTTATTTTCTCATGGTCCTTAAAAATAAGTTCGAGATTTTGTTGTCTAGTTTCGTTCGACTGAGTAATTACGTTAGATTGGTAATCATTCCCCTAATTAATATGAAAGACTTGGAGCTCAGTATAGAAATGTCAGTAAAAAGTATTTGTCAAGCTGGTAGTGATCTAAAATTTTATATCTCAGTAATGTAATATTTTGGAATATACAGTTTCTATTTTCATGACTGTCTTTTTTAGCTGATGAGATTGGACCTTTTCTTATCGAGTTGTTCTGTCATTTCGGGTGGGATCATCAAGTGGTTGGACTATGTGAATGCATAGATTTCTTGATATATTTGTGTACCAATTCTGGTGATTATAAACTTCCTCAGGTAAGCTTTATTAAGTTCTTGTACGTGAGGTTTTGTTTCCATGTATTTAAAAATAACTCCGTACTATACAGATTGGCTGTCTGTCGAGAGGACACTTGACTTATTGCAAGCAGTGCAATTCTCTCGAAAGTTTGGCTCCCTATTTAACCTAATAATTATTCTCCTATCGTTGTTACATCATTTTTCTAACATGACCATCCATGTGACCGTTATCAAAAACTAAATACCTTGTGGGTCTTACGATTTGTGAACTTAGTAGAGAAAACAAAACTAATCTTCTTTCAGTCCTTTGTGTGTAATTTTATTCCTCATGGCGACTTAGTATTTTAAGAGTAATCATTTGAGTACTGCAATATAAACGCTTATTGGTAAATATTTGTATGCAAGTAATGGTTGATTGTTACTTTTTGTATTTAGACGTGTGAATCCTAACGACACCATAATAATTTACGGTCTGTATAACACACGAAAGAAGACACTGTACTCTAGTGTAAAAAGTAAGAGACCATAAAATGTGACACTATCATCAATATTAAGTTGTTTATATTAGCCAGTGTTCATTGTTTATGTCGAAATGCATGGTGTTAACTCTATAAAGAGAGTTTTGATTAGGTTGAGGTAAATGCTATGTTTGCTACTTCACCATTGTTTCATTTCAATAACTCAACTTTCTTCCTGAACTTTTATTATCTTCACTCTGTAGGTTGATGTAGCAGAGAGTAGTGGTAGTGTCTACATTGAAATTGGTCATTCTCAAAAGCGATTAAAATTAAACTCATCGTTTGCCAATCCCAGCAAATTATCAACCGACAACCTATCGATTGGTGTCTCTCAATGTCTGCCAGACAACATTAGTGCGGACACACCGATTTCTTTTAGCCAACTGGCTTCTTTTATTTTCAATTCAGATAACGCAATTCAAACAAGCGAACAAATGCAAACATTTTTACACAGTTCAGTTGTTATAACATTGAAGGAAGTGTGGCTTTTAGTCAATCGAACTATACAGTTTATTGTAGCACTACTACAGAATCCTGATTATTGTGATAAAGTTCAGACAGCCTTCAGCGATCCATCAGGTTTAAGCGCTGTTTACGGTCGACTAGTAGAGCACATTGTTCAGTTAATGCTCGTTGTAGCTAATTTCCTAACGAAAGTGAAAAAGTCCGATGAAAAAATGACAGATGTAATCTCCTGTGCTGATGGAACATTGTCCGGCTTGCAATCAATTTTAGTACAGGTTAGCTTTTAATCTATTTCATTGTCATTAAATAACAGATTTCTAATCTGGAAAATGCGTTGTCATAATTTTATAGGATCGACTATCTTCGCTGGTTACTACTTTTCGGTTTTTTATACTCACCGCATACCGTTTTCTAGAATAACTCCATGATCTGAACAAGAAAGGGTATTAAGGTTAGAATAAAATTTGACTTTTTATACCGAGATGCAGTATTTCGACATCTTATGACACATTTGTAATCTGTTTCGTATCAAGTTAATATTCAATAAATAATAAGTCCTAGGAAATCTACCTCATTGGAGTATACTACTGCCTGTCGGTATGCATTATTTATGTAATTTTGGTTCTTCACTCTTGGTTCTGATGTTAACCCTGAAACTAGTCGTCCTGTTTCTATTGACTCATATTTCTAACTGTAGTTAATGCGTCATGCAGCAAAATATTCATTATCACACATGCTACTAAAACATATAACTCTCACTTGGCTCTCGAAATTCTGCTTTATAGACATGATTAATTAATATCGATCATTCATTCATAAAGGAATTCATTTCTGTGTATTGTTGACTGAGATCGATGTTAAATTATGTCACCATCAAGAACTTACTATCATAAACTCATTTGATATCAACCCTTTTCCTTAAAAATTATGGAATAGTTTGTAGTCTAAAAAATCCCGAATCATGTTTATTTCGGCATCATTTAGCTGGAGCTGCAATTCTATTTATAATAAAATTCCGATCAAGTCGTAATTTTGAACAGACTTTTAATTGAAAATATCCAACTAACGATATGGAGTATATTAAAAACTTGTTTCACTTCTTTATAAGAGCTTCTGTCTTTGTTAGTTACGCTGATTTATGTAATTCCATCTTATATATACGTTTTCCATTTAAAAACTAGATTTAACTAATTCATCTTATGTTAGTTTGTTACGTTTTGCTTTTGTCATCTTTATAATTAATAAATTATAATGAATTCTCTATTCATTTAATTTTTATTTTCGCATATAGATCTTGGACTCTGTGCCTGGTCGAGTATTCATTTCTATGATATTAGATTTATATTCCTGTGAGAACCGTGGACTTCGCCGAAAAGCTCTCGACCTATTGTCTGCTAAATTAACAAGTTTAACTGTGAATGTTCAGCCAGTTCCAATTTTAATTGATTTTACGAAAATGAATTACAAATCTTACCTGAAGTCTCATAAACACCTAGTTAGCCGAAATTTTGTTGATTTAAATCGTACCATGGAGGCGGGCTTAGTTCAATTCACTGGAAAGCTAATTTCATTCTATAATTTAAAAAGCTGCAAGACAGATGATCCGTCAATGTCAAAACATAGTAATGTTTTTGGTTCAGGATTTTCACGTCAGTGTTTGGCTTGCTTGAGGAGTTTGACCAAATTACTGGCCTACCGTTATCCAGGAGAATTCATGAGGGTAAATTTTTATCTACTTAATTTTGACTGTTTTATAGAATAGTTTACAAAAAATCCCTTTATAAACGTAATGACCTATCAGTTGTCGCATAATCACTTACTGTGAAATAATACGTCTTTTATCCTGTAAGCTATACTTCATATTTTCGTGTTGTTAAAATTCTCGGTTAGCGAGTGTAGTATAGTTAGACTAAGCTACAATGCTTTTAAACTAGACGTTGACTAAGTGTATACCTATTAATAAAGTGTGATTAATTCACAAATGGAAGACTCGTTTAGTTTTTCAGCTTTTAAAAATTTGACTCGAATTTAGTCATTCATCACACTTTATACTCCACGATAACCTCTGTGTATTGATTGTCCTTAAAATGTTATGTAATTTGGGTTCAATTTTAAAAAAAAACCAGATGTTTTACAGGCGTTTGATTCCCACCTGACAAGTTGTAGAATTATTTTCCCATATTAGCAGACTTTTTTCAATTTTAAAAAATATCAACTAAAACTCTTGATTATGTTTTCATCGCGAAATGTTTTTGGCCTTGTGCTGGACTCCTTTTTGTTTAGGCTTTGGACAGTCTGATGACGGCTCCTAGTAATTGGTGGATTACTATTACAGATACTCATCAAGCTTCAGTCAACTCAACTGGTGAACCACTTGTAGAAAGCAGTCCACATGGACATCATTCTGGGTCATCTCTTGCTGAATCAAGATCATTAGCATGTTTGTTTTTCGTTGAATGCTTGCAACGTTTACCACCACAATCCTTATATCCGGAAGCAAGTGCAACAATATCCCGCCTCAGTTGGTTACTTTCTTTTGCATTGGACCACGCTTATACTTGTACATCTTTTGCTTCTTCACCGAAGTTATCTGTAAAACAATATTGGTCTGTAAACTCACCATGTAAATCAAATGATTGCATGAAATTGGTCACTGGTTCTATGCACTCAAGAGATCAACACTTATTGGTTAGTTTTCATTCAAACCTGGTGAATGTGTTTACAGTTGTTTTATATTTTTTAAACCTTGTACAGAATCAAAAATCAACGAATACAATGATAAAAGTTTTAGGTACTAAAGCTGTCTACTAACCTTTTTTCAGAGAACGAATGTCACTGTATCGTAATTGACCTAAAAATTTTCAACCAGTCACAAGACTAAAATCTTTTTTTCATTATTTCTATAGAAAAATTATTGAAGTCAAGTAAGCTTCAGTCACAAGAGCGAAAAGAGGAAGATTATGTGTACATTAGGAATATTTAGTAACATAATATTAAGGCCAACTGTTAACTTATTAGCTATTTAGTTGAGAAGATAGTGGAAGTAGTTGAAACTGTATCATTTGGATGCAGAATTTTGATTTTTAGTTTGAATGATCGTCCCTTATTTCACTGTAGAAATTCAGTCTAAACATCTTTAGCAAGTTGTTTTTAGCACTATTGAGATTGTGTTGTTAATGTTCACTTTGTGGTTTTTTATTGACTTCTTACAGGCTAGTTTAACACTGATCAGCAATCTACTTGAGTTAGCCATCATTCATCGTTTGTGTCAACAGTCTAAAGATGACTACTCTTCAGACAGTACTGAGTCAGCGGCTGGGAAGTGGTTAGAATTCGGGAATATGACTAGGAAAAGTACGAATAATTCAGTGTATCAAGAACCCGTTTCCGTAACGCTGCTAAGTTTTGTGTTTCAGCTCCGCAAAGACAACTTGTCTATACTAACGGGTTGTAATCCGGAACGTTCTGCTCCTATATTTCGTCAGATTTCAAATCTTGTTGAACATATACAGTAAGTTAAAAGGCACTTAATGATTGTATTGAACTTTGGAAGTATTTCATATGTTATGTGCATGATTTTTACACTAATGGAGATTTCTCTAGTTGCATAACCTCAGATTTGCTACTCTAAAGATCCTTTGAAGTTCCTGAGATACTAGTAGTATCAATTCTCAGTCAAATAATTTTATTGTTTAAATCCCATCATAACAGACATTCGAAAGCTTTAGTATATATATTGATTAGCATCCAGTTTTTAACTATATTATCCTATATTCACACACACCGATAAAGTGTCTATCTCTAACAATGGTTGATATGAGGGACCCAGCTATTCATTCTTGTGTTCTATGCCTTTGGTAGAGGAAGTATGACCTACGGAATCATTCACTTGATTTTCAATAACCCAGCTTCAGATTCAAAGTTGCCCACTCCTTTAATTTCAGTTTAGTCTGATAGGTCATCTCATTTGCTCTAAAACCAGCAATGTAACTCAAAGTACAGTACTTAAACCTGTAGTTAATGCTATGAACCATGTGATGAAGAAGTTACATTCAAAAAATTATTATAGGTTTATCTCCTAGAGACTTGGTAATAGTTCAGTCAAGATATTTTCATTTTCTCCATCTTCACAAGTCTAGGTTTATCTAGCATATCTAAAAATAGCTATTATCTTGTCTTGTGTTCGAGTTTCATTGTCATGGAACTCGTCTTTCATAACCATATTAATTATCGCTGCAGCTAGCTGAATTAATTTATAATTTATTAACTGAAAATAAGCTCTACGAATTTTATTTCCTAAAAATATCAATCGTTTATCTGCCTATTTTTGTTCATATTCATAGTAAACTTCTTCGTCATGTAACAGAAGTTACTTGTTTACTTACATCAATTCAGATTGTAATTGAAAAAGCCTCTAAAATCAATAATAATGTAAGTTCTCATATTTCTTTTTATTTGTGTTCAATGTTAACAAAAAAGTACATTTTCATTCATTGAGTGCTCTTGATTGGTGCTCAGTGATTTAGTTCTCAAAAAATTACATAAGATTTTGCTGTCTAGAATGCTGGCAATAAATCTGAATTTTTCATCGCTCTCTGAAATAATATCCATTTAAGCAAACTTCTATTGCAATAGTAATAATGATGCCTCGAAAGAAAAAAACTAAAAGACTGTTGATTATGTCTGTTTGATTGATCCAGTCATGCTAAGTCACTTTACTGTATAAGTAGTTTGAGCTTTCCATTTTATTTCAGTCAAATCAGAAAGTAACGAGAAAAAAATCCTTTATGATGTCTGGTTTCATTTATTACAACATTTTTTAAAATTAAGATATTCATGTTTGTGAAAATAATTAATCTGCTTTTTACTTACGTTCATTTACTCTTTTTGATTTCAAGTTATTTAGTTGCTTATTTTTTAAAACTTGGTTGGTTTATTTTGGTTTGGATCGTTAAATAGTGTCTTAAGCCTGTACATATCAAATGTAGTCTGAAGCTTTATGAATTGAAATTTTAGATAGTGGAGAAAATTCGCAGCTTAGGCGGACGGTTTTGGTGCTGTGTTCTCTGAACTATTTGGTTTTCGTTTCAAAACGTTCGTTGTCAATTTGAGCAACACCATCAATGCCCACTTCTCATAGAGGTGGTCTTTCTACTTATTCTACGAGTATTATATCATTTCGTTTAGTTGTGTGTTCACTGATATGTTTCTACGAATTTCTTAAACTTAAAGCATCCACTTCATTGCAGCGTAGCTGGCGAGTCTATTAACCCGCACACTGAGGAAATCAGTCAATCACTTGATTCGATTTCACTCGCAAAAGACATAAATGTAGGAACAAACGAATATAGCAAAAAAACAGATTACCAATTAAAAACCTAAACAACTAAACGAAATGATATAATACTCGTAGAATAATAAGTAGAAAGACCACCTCTATGTGAAGTGGTCATCGATGATGTTGTCCAAGTCGACAATGAAAGTTCGACATGTCGCACAGAAAACAACATCAAATTAATGTTTATTTTTAATGCTCATATATTGGCTAGGATCCATGTATTTTGTTGATTCCTAATTAGCTTTTTAAATGAACCTATTTTTACCTCATCATTTTTTCTAGGCTTTATTACATGGTGCTTTGTCGTTCTTGTCTGATGTTGGCGAGTCCATGGCACTTGTTGAAGAAAATGGTGTAATCTCTTCTAAAGATGAAAACCAATCACATTCCTTTGCAATAATGCATGCAACACAGCCTGACCTGTTATGGCATCTGATCCATACTTGTTTATGTACAGTCGTTAATAGACTGAATAAAGTTGATCTTGAAAATATTACAGAATTAAAAACCAATGACATACTTTTATGTCTCTACCGTTCTGTTGCTAGCTTAATCAGTTCATTACCGGATGATAATGCTCGCCTTAGAATTTGTCAACAGTTGTTTGCATGGATTCATGCTCAAGATAGCGAAGAAGAATCAAATGATGCTGATAATGTCAAGGATATTACTGATCGGATGCTATTACGTTTATCGATTGTATTCAGAATAATAGAAAGGTTTGTTTATTTAGATTGGATAACATTTGTTTGCCTGAATGATGTTTAATATTAAACTATTTTTATAACTAAGGTCAATATTTTGCTGGTTCGTTTCAGTAATCGATAGTTAATGCATTCGAATTTCAGTCGCTACCTCCACACCAGATATTTCGGTTTGAATAACTGGATAAGTATCACTCCTAACCTTCTATCTCTGAAATGAGTTAACATTAATTCAGTAATTAAAGTCAAAAAGAAAATTTAAATTCATTAGTTATCTAGGTGTTTTAATTTTCTTTACTTTTTAATATTTTCACTATAGTGCATCTTAGAATTAAGTTTTAGATTTATCAACTGAAGTGTAAAATCCGCTTATTAATTCATTGATATCTTGTGAATTCTGTTGATGTTATCAAATACACTTACTTTTTAACATGGTGGAGGTAAAAAGAAAGAAAATAATCTGAAGAATACTATTAAATTTGTGATATTATGTGATTGCAGTCTACTGTTTTCTTGTTTTGTTAATCACATGAATGTATATGGGTAATTTTACAGTATTTACTGATTAGTGTTAGTAATGTGTGTACAGTATCATGTTTTCTTTCTTTCTTTTTCTAATTGTAGAATTCCAGATTATATAAATACAGAAGAATTTTCTGAATTAAGCAAACAATTGTATCTAGTTGATTATATTGTTTTATTATTCATCATAGCTATCGGTCATAAATTTAAAGGTATGTTAGAGGTTTGTTACTTTTTATTCAAAAAAAACAAACAAACTAAATGTTGTATACGCTTATATGTGTCTAGATTTAAGGTATAATCTAAATAAAATCTCCAAAACCAGTCATATTCAACTAGTGGTAATAGATGTCAAGAAATATCACATCATTCAAATAATTTTACATTTAATTCTTGTATCAACAGAAAATCAAGCTTACTCAAAGTAAATATCTTTTGATTAGTTGTGATCATTTAGCTTCAGTATAATGATGATACATTCTGATTCGTTACGTTTAATTTCTTTCTAATCGGAGTAATGAATTGGTATTGCGCTCAAATTGAATCTTGTTTTTTCAGTTATTGAGTCTCTCGTCATTAACTTCTTATTTTGAATGAGACAGGATTCTCCAATTGTTAATTACTCTTTATTAATTTTATTTTTGTTTGTCAATTTTTCTAGTAAACTTGATACAAAACATTTAAGCATTCTACTGTGCTGTTTGTAAATAATAGAATGACACCAAACGACTTACAGTCACGTAAAATAACTCACTGATCCAAGGTTACCACTTACAGGTTCCTGTAGGGATCAGTCTAGTGACTGAATCATATACATAAGTTTTGTAGGTTACTATTCAATTCTCTGCAAAAAATCTTCCAACTTTCTATGAGTGATTGACTAGGGGTTAGAAAATATACTCTATCTGATTGAGTAAACCGCTTAACTTAACAGACCTCAGGTACTGGAAGTCTGATAAGAAATGACCGTACTCACTGATCATTATAATTTAGTATGATTCAAACTGTTACCGGTTGGTTTTTCTGTTTTTGCATATACCGTAGCAGCAACAGTCAACTAGCTCTTAATCGGCTAAAATTTATATTCCATGTGTACAATTAAATTGGTAACTGAGATGATAGGCAAAAGTACAGGTTCTTTGTTAAAGCTTACCGATTGTTTGTTTTCGTTAGTATTGAGAGGCAGACGGAATTAGTTGAATTTTCATAGTACGCATCATAGATTCATTTTACTTTAAAAGCCGGTGAGCACTAGATAGCTGTTTGGTCCTGGTATATATCTGCTCAATAGTATGCAACCCCAAACTTTATTTCTCTCGACAAGTACTTAACATTTAGACCTCTAATCTGTCATCCAGTTGTGTTAATAAACTTAGTGTTAATTGTTTTGTTAAGTAGTAACACCTTTAGGATATATTATGATTCAGGGTTGTTATCATTGGAACTATGTTTGTATTAATAGATTCAATGATCAATTTTTCAGTTTGACCACTTCCTGTCATTCCATCACTTATTTCATTTGTGCACTACCATAACAGTAAATATAACCAATAGCATTTGATAATTTTACATGCAGACTGTGTCCTATTATGTTGAATCATTTAGTACTATTTTCGCTTATCAATACCTAACTGAAATTATTGTTTTTGTGTCAGACTGTATCTTTTATTCACCTATTGATTAATTAATTTTATTTCCATAGGTGCTAAGAAACTGTCCAATCGGTTAGGTTTTGGCCGATCACTGTATTGTTATTCTGATGGGGCTACATCTTGTGTTTTAATTTGTATTCATGCTTCTTTGTCGTGTTTGCATAAATGGCTTATTGGAGAAGTAAAAAATGTTGGGTGCTTGGATGCTGCTTCTATTGGAGAATCAATACAATATATTCCTTCTGTCTTAATTGGATTACTCGATGTCTCTCATCCATCTTCTCATGCACCTCCAATAAGTGAAGTTGATATTCAAGATGTTTTAGGCTCGTTTTTGAATGCGATTTGCGGTGATGAAGCTTATCTTCGTCCTCTTGGTTCTGCACTGACTGAACGTATCATGCACTCCAAGAATTGGCGTACTAGGTTAGCTGCAATTCGGTTGTTAAAGTTTGTATTTAATCATTCAAATGATCATGAAATCGACAACGATAGAGACGTTACTATGGATTCAAAACTTTCTGGTCCTGTCAGTTGTATTGTATCAGATTCACTCTTAGCCCTATCAGAAGCGTTCGAAGACGATAGGCCAGAAGTTGAAACTGAAGCCAATAAACTGTTTGCTGAATTAGAACAAATGGGTTTGACTGCTACAAAATCATAAACTATTAAATTATCAGAAGCTTTATTAGCTGATGAAGATCATAATTATTTTGAACTAAATCCTTTTGTACAGTTTTTCCTATGTGCTTTCTAACTCATGTGAATAAATATGACTTTGTGTGAAAGATATCATCATTTGTACATGGTTTCAGTTTATGTCTTGATCAATTATATTTTTTTTGATAAATAGTCTTTTTAGTTTGTTATATTAGATCATGGCTTAGTTGTTCTCATCAGTTTTTTTAATTGTTAGTGATGTATACCTACGCAAGAATTGTGAGCAATGACGGGTAACGAAAGTCAAAGAGTTGAAAAAGAAGCAGACTACAGGTAACAGTAAACACTTCTTCAGACTTATCAAGGAAATCTGACTGTTTGCTCGGGTCTCTCGGAAATAGACGGGACACTTGTTCACTCTCAGTTCAGTAGTTTATACCGATGGGAAGAACACTAGGGAACAGTTTGACTGGTTTTCCATCACACTTCGGTTACTCACCATCAACCTAAATGCCAGGCCGATGTAAGTTGAACTCCACTGGCCCAAGGGTTAGGTGTTCGCGTGCTGGGCAGAAGGTCCTGGGTTTGAATCCTGCTGGTAGCAGGAGTCATGGATTTGCACTGCTGATAAGTACCATACCAGGACGAAACGACCGTTCAGTGCTTCTAGGTTTCTGCTTATGGTCTAACAATAAATGATTCATGATTTCAATGTGTAAAAAAGTTGCCATAACTGTAATTGAGAAATAGTACTGTCTGGTGAAGACTGGCAGAATGCAGTTTTCTGATCATAATAAGCAACAATGCAAGCATGTGTGGGATGATACCTACGTATGGGCTAGCGTCAGCAGGTGATAGGGAGTGAAGCAGTTGAGCGTGTCAACCGATGCACTTCTCTTGTTATTCTCATCAGCGCTGACGGCCTGGTGACTGACGAAATCTCAGCACGGATATAGAAAGCTCGTTTAGCTCTTTCCAACTTGCGTAGGTGAGAGTTCCGTCTATTATTCAAAGGACTAGTTTGTTGCACAGCACTTCGCTCTGTCCTTCTATACGGGTGCGAAACATGCCCAGTAAGAGTAGAGGATATTCATAGGTCACTAGTATTCGGTCAACGGAGTCTTCAAATCATTGCTCGCTTATCCTGGGACAACCAAGTAAGTAATGTTGTCGTTAGGAAACGTGTGCTATGTAATGGTGGTAGGTCAGTAGATGAAGTATTGAAACTTCAGTTGAGGTTGGCGGGACATGTATTACGAATACCCAACCACCGACTACCTCGACGAGCTGTCTTATGGTGTAGGAGTAGGATGGAAGAAAGCTAGGGGTGGCCAAACCAAAACATGGCACAAATCCAAGAAGTCACTCCCAAGTGGATTGAGTCATGTTGGTAGGTGTCGATTACCTGCTTGGTGTCCGTGAGATAATAGAAATCGATAGTCAGGGATCTTGCTCAAAACCGTTTTCAATGGCGCAGGTGCATCCATTCTTTGTCATCTCTGAAATTATAACCTGAGTTTTTCGTGAGTCTTTTTCTTTCCAGATTTATTTTTCTTAATTTTACTTCTCGAATGATATCTTCAATTCCTAACCTTCTCCATCGCCGCTAATGCCTGCACTACCTCTACTACAATGGGATTTGAATTGACAATTTGATCTCTGTGCTAATGTAACGTGGCAACTTGAACTGATGTACATACGTACGAAGTTCTACGTTGCATCTGATTGACTGACAGATATTTTATCATTCAACTTAGGTAGTAATTAATAGTAGTGAAAGTATGTGTAATATGGTTTTGTTGACTAGTAGTGAGAAGACAGAGGCAGGCTCGATAGATTGTATTTGGTAAATTTACACTCTTAGTCAATTAAAAACGAAAACATCACATTGAACACTCTATTTGCACACCATCTTTGAGTCCTGACTTCCAACGCTCCAGCCTTCTTCCATTCCTGCTGTTGCTTCCTTTACTTCCTGTCGATGCTCTATTTATTTCTTGTTTTTGCTCTATTTGCTTTCCGTTTTCCTCTTCTGACCGTGAAACTTCTTCTTTCACGTCCATTCTTATACTACTTATATCGTTCGTATAAGTAGCACACACCACAGTAGTATGATGTAAATAAGGACTATCAAAATGATAGTTTCCACTATAGTTCTCAGTCTTATTTAAACCGGATTATTGTAATGCTTGTTTGGATTTGATGTAGCCTTGGATAAACTATCTATCAATCGTTTTAGAACTGCCATGTTTATAGGTAGTTATTCACTGTAGGTGTTGGTGCTTGACTAAATTAGTTTCGCAGTCATCATCGTACAAGATATTAAAGCAAGTTTTTCAGACGCGTATGTTGAGAATCATGAACACCACGCCATTTTGTGTATCTATAGTGTATCTCAGAGACTGAACTAAGTTTTGTTTGCAGATGTCCTAAATAAACATCTAGTTCGTTTTAGTTACACTTATTCACTAGTTTTCCAATGAAATTACTGTTAACTAATTTAAACCAAGCAGTTTAAAGCATAAGCCTATGACTCAGTTATCCATAGTACAAATATTCTGAGACTGCAAATAAACTGAGCCATCAGTCTGATGAAGCGTCAGAGTTAATTCAATGTCTTGGTTGATTTGACAAATTTAAGTATCGATTGTTTATTGAATTGATTAATGTGGGCAGTATAAAATCTGTTTTAAAAGCACCTAAAGTTACAAAAAAATAAGTGTGAAATTTATTTAACTATTTGCTAGTGATTCGACAGATCTCTAAGAAAATCAAAACACATAAAATCACTTTTTCTTTTGTCTGAAAAATATTTATTTTTTTTCAGTGTATACTATATGAAAAACAAAACATTATGATCAACATTAGCATGTGTAAACAAAATCTACGACTCAAATTGAATTTAATGTAACTGAAAATAATTGGAAATTATTTTCTTTACAAAAAATATACACAGGGAAGAGCTTATTTAACAGAAATACAAAAGTTACATTTGTTTACTGAATTATCTCCATATATGTGAACTATGATTGCGAAACTTTGTTTTTTTTTTATTGGGCTTGTTTTTCTATGAATTGGAGATTTTATTTACATTGATATTAATGGATTGTTAGGTGAATCTTATTATTACTGATTTAATACTGTTCGATAATATTCTTGATTTGAAGTTCGTCTAGCAACTCGGTTTAATTTAACCGATGTGACAACTGGCATTAAACAATTGACCATTAATTGTGAATTGTAGCAGCTGTTCTGGAATGTGTTCACATGAGGATTGATCAGTGTAGGTAGTGGAGTTTTATATTTTTCTTCTGTTTTAAAATCTGTTACAATGTAAATATATGGATAAAGAATTTAATTCTTTCTAATCTTAGCCGATCGAGATGAATAATCGTTTAAATCCATTAAAATAAATATTTCCATGCTTTAAATTTATTGACCAGAGAATGTGTCATCAATAATCACGCATAATTATATATTTCGTTTGAATCGAAGTGATCAGATTAAGCGATTAGTATTGTGACTGGTTTAATTAAATGGTGTATTCAACTTTACGAGTCGAATCCTAGTTAGTAATCAAGGTCACTCTTTATCAAACTTTAATATAGTCATATGGGGTTTAAATGCTGGGTAACTTTTTCAATCTAGAGCATGTTCTACCTTGAATAGCAGTTTAGTAGTCCAGTTAAAAGTGCTTGTAGTGTTCGAAATAGCGTTCCCAAAACTTATGGCCGTGAAAAGAATTATGATTTGGATACATTGTTTAATCTTGTGAACCCTGTGCTTTTTACTCGTTTTGTTTTTTGGTGAATAATTCCAAATAATCTACCTTTATGATTGACTTATATACAGAATTGTAATTAGCTGACTATCTTATCAAATAAAACTATCGAACAACTTATTTGTCTTTTATGTTAGTATGATTTTTAATAAAAGCTACTAAAGAATGTTTCTACTTGTCAGAATTTGTGGAATGTATTGTCTTCCTTCAAGAGTAAGCAATGCTGTCGTTAGGAAACGAGTACTAGGTAAGGATGGGAGATCAATAGATGAAGTATTGAAACTTCGTCAGTTGAGCTGGTTGGGACATGTGTTACGAATACCCAACCACCGACTACCTCGTCGGTGGTATAGGAGTAGGATGGAAGAAAGCTAGGAGCGATCAAATCATAACATGCCGCAATTCCATGACAAGTGGACTGAGCCATATTGGTAGATGCAGACTACCTGGTTGGGGTCCGATGGCTAGAAACCTTGAACGACATGGCTCAAAATCGCTTGCAATGGTACAGGTGCATCCACTCGTTGTGTTCTATGAAATTATAATCTTATGAACTCGTCATCAACTGTACCTTTCTTATCTCTTATCTCACTTAATTATACTTCTTGAATAATATCTTGGAACCCTAATCTTCTCCGTTACTGCCAATACTTCTACTATCTCTACCACTATGTGATTTAAACTGACTACTGTCCCTCTGTGATAAAGTGGTGTGGCAACCTGAACTGATGTACTTACATACATACATACGAAGTTCTACGTTGTAACTGACTGACTGACTATCTCCTTGAAGATGATCTGCAACTCATGCAGTTATTTTAACATCTATATATCTTCGATTGAATTACAGCCGAAATGCTTAATTTATTAATATAACTAGAATCATAGAGATTATCTAATCTGACGTTAGTTTTAATCACGGACTAACCATTTACAAAACCAGGAAGCTGGGGGTAGCTTTCCTACCTGGTATAGGATTCCTTGGAAGTTCATGTTCATCACAGCATATAAAACCAAACCTGAAACCTAGCGACTTGTCAAGAAACAAAATGTTCATATAACAATAAGTTGGAGTACAATAGTCTACAGACCCAACTTCAGTTAATTGACAATAACTGGTGACCATCGAGATTTATGTACTCGATTATTTCCAATTACTAGATATTTGAATTGTATAGGCAAAACTTACTTTCACAACCATTATATATGGTTTTTCTAGCGGCATTGTGACTATGCTGTCTTGAATTATTGTAAGAATTGCTTTTAGCAGTATAATTACGATTGTTATTACAACTAGTCGAATTCGTGAACATGTATTTTGATTTCAATGCTGAATTAGAATGAATGCTTCTTGCAGGTAAAAAGCCACAATTTGCATTTGTTCGTAAAGGTACACTAACCGGATTATGTAAACTATCAAGAGATGGATTTTTTATTGATTGGTAACTTTTCACATCAATAAAACTTGTATCATAACTATCTTGGTAAGATCGTTGGCAATCAAGATATGCTGGTAAATTTTGAGTTGTATGGCCACTGATCGAATTTACAGTTGAAGAATTTGAATGTGTTCCTGTACTTCGAAGATTACCGGAATGTAGACGGTTGGATTTTTGGAATTTTTGTTGATGTATCTTTAGAGATTGATGAGACGGAAACACAAAATAACAGTAGGATTATTCAAAAATGGTTTATTTTTACCATTTAGCACTAAAAGAACTTTATTGGTATCGAGTATGATCTCTGGTTTCCGCTTCAAAATAATTTACTAAAAGCCATAATTAAAATATTTTTCAAGATACTTTGTACTTATAAGTAGTATAACTAATATTGCAAGATGTTTTCATGAAGATTGGTTAGTGAATTTTACCAGAAAAATGTTGATCACTGATGTATATGTACTGAATACAGAAATAACATCACTGGTGCTACCTCAATAATGATAAGAGCATGGTGTTATTCAGTACTGCAGTGTCATAACGGATATCACGTATGTAAAAAGCAAAAGTTTTTGTTGTAACTTGTATATTTACTATGGACAATTAAATGAAATTATTGTACAACTGATTTGTTAAAAAGTTTCTTATATGAGTAATTCATTCAATAATGTGGCTGGTTTTCATAAGAAAATGAAATAAACTAGAGAATTATAATTGACCAGCAACTGCTTGAAAGTCGATTTATTATTTCTAGATTTCGGCTTATCCATCAGTATGAACTAACAGTTTCAACGAAAGTGTTTCAAGATTTCATTTATCATTTGATTTTATTTAAAACTGCTTTTCTAGCTGAAGTTAATCAATAATAATAACTAACTACAAATCAGATAATTGTTATAAACCTTTTGATTTTATGGTAGTCTATCATTTTTACAATATAAGTTGCACTGATAAAAGTAAAATACAAGACTGGAAGGTCACTTACAGTTTAGTAATGCATCTCCATAAAGCAATGCAGTCCTAATATAATAATGAAAATAGCTAGTTCAATAACATGTTGAAATTCAAGGGATATAAAATAGATGACATTTAGATATAATTATCCAATAAATAGGATACTGAATGGAATTTCTTTCAAAAATTTAGTTTGAAAAAAATTGTGTAAATGAACCAAAATTTACTTTTAAAGAATTTTCATGTTGATGATTCTTAATCCAATATTTTTGCCTTCCTAATGACTGTGTACGATTATTCCACGAGGCTGTTGGTCTTGAAACATTCAATACTCCTTCTTTCTTTTTATCTAATAATTGAGAAGAAAAGAAGCCACGTATAATGATGTTCTTAGATGAACTATTAACAGAGATAGTATAGTATAGTAGTAGCATAGTATAGTATAGTATAAAAGTATTCCAGTAAGTAAACCTCAAACCTACAACACTATAATAATAAACTCAGATAATAACTAAAGTTAATGAATGCATTCATCCCAAACGCATAATGATTAATAAGTGTTATAACCATAGATATTCACATTATATTCCGTTTAGGCAGAATCTTGCCATCGAAATCACAGCATTTTGTTGTGGCAGTGCGAATATCATTGAGAAACTGTAGCATCTATTGATCTGTTCATTTTATCATACCGCTTTTGTTTAAATATTGAAATAGCTTAAGTGACCATTTAATGATAAAGTTATTGGAAGGAAAAAAATTAGATAAGGATATAATTTAGCTTTCTTTAAACAAAAATAAAGTAACATAACGTTGATTTTCATTACAGGGGTTGTGAAGATTGGTAAGTTACACATTTTTGAAACCATGAATCGATCAATGTTGCTGAGGAGTCCCATACCAGGACGAAACGGCCGTCCAGTGCTTCCAGGTTTCTGATGGTGGTCTAACATTGATCGATTCATGGTTTCAAAAATGTATAACGTTGATTGTTTATTTCTCATATCGAAACAAAACTTGAATCCTGTTAAGGTAATTTGAAAAAAAAGATGCTGTGTAAAAGTAGAGCTTACAAATAAATCAACTAATTTGATTTGTTATTCAACTAAAGTGCAAATGACAAATGAAATCGAATATTTCTTACTCATAAATGACATGTATTCATACCTTATGAAGGATTATTGGTTTTTAATTATACAATATAGTAGATGTGTGTTTACATGGTAAGTTATTGAATTATTATTGTTAAATACAACAGAGTTCAATTTCTGCAAATCTGACTGTTAATCTAACTATAAATAAATCATTTTGAAAAAGTGATGTACACCTAAATAATTTTCAATCTATTTTGTGAGTCAAATAAATCCTAAAGAACGGTCTCCAGTTTCTCACTTCACGCATATTCTGTGTGTTCAGGTTATTGTGTTGATTTGACTAGGGGTTATTAAAAACGGTTTAAGAAACCAGATCTCCCATTCATTTATAGCATACTTATCATAATGTTACTATGAAATAAATACTACAAAATAAGAAATTATATACCTATCTGTTGTTGTGTCTGTTGATGGTCTATACATGTTTGATCTGTATTACTATTGCTATTATTATTATTATTATTATCATCAATTTCTCTCTTGCTTTCATTTTTCAATGCATGGAAATGTTGTTGACGTGAAAGTAAATCATAAAGAATCGAAATTAAACCAATTTTTTGCATTTGATATTCTCGTTTTTTTAATTCATTTTTACGTTCTGCTTCTTCTTTATCAATTATAGGTTGTGGAATTTTAGTATCGATGCCTAATTTGTCATTGTTTAGCGTAGACTTAGCCAAGGCATGATTTGCCAATTGATCATCATTACTATCTTTTTCTTGTTTGCCTGTTGTATGATGAATGTTTAAACAGTCTTCAGGCTTTTTTTGGCTTTCTTCATTGTTTTGTTTGGTGTTAACAGTAAAATCTGTCTTATTTATTTGGATTAGCTGATTAAAATTACTGATTATTTCATCATTATTGATGGATTTCGTTAATTGTTGAGATAATGTTGATCCATTGTTGATTTTAATTCTTAATCTTTTAGGAGCTGGACTTTCAGATTGACTTTGTTTGTGTTTATTTGTAATTAAATCTAGTTTTTCTTGTTTAACTCTAATTTCTTCTCTTAGTTGTCTATTATATTAAAATTTAAAACAAACATATAAGGAATATAAGTCATCAAATGTAAGACTCGATATATATATATATATATATATATATATATATATATATATATATAAAGTACGGATGACAAAGAGAGGTATGAATGAAAGGTACAATTGTTATTTGTAATTACGATAAGTTAAGCAGCTATATATATAATGGGATCCATCTTTTGATAGAAACGTCAAGTTTGAATTAGTCAATTAATTCATTTTAATGCGAGATAACTCAAGACAATTACATTTGCTACGTATTACATCATAACATATTAGAAAAAGAGTCTGTCATAGCTGACTAATGTCACACAAGAAATCACTGATTACTATGAGCCACTGGTCAGCTATTTCATTCCAGCCTCGAACGTTGCAGCAGTGAGCGGTTAAGACCCAAACTTGAGTTTTTGAAGCCTCTCAGTTATATACGATTTCAGTAAAACTACTGTAGTTGACTTACTGATAGCTCGTTTATATAGGATATCAGTTTGTATTAATATAATGTATTTATCGACCTGTGTAATTAGTGAATATACTGGTAATGTAGTTTATGTATATTTTCTATGAAGTATATTAGATCCATGAGCCATAATTAAGACAACTAAATATACAGAAATTACATTTAAGTATATTAGGTCAAAATTATCAAATACAGAATAATGATCAAATTAGGCCTCAACTGTCAAAGCAATTAAAAAAATCTCACTTAATATTCAAACAAACTGAGAGTACAGAAACTTCAGTTTCCATGCTACACAATTATAAATTTATTAAAACTGAGTTACAATGTTATCAGAACTTAGAGGTTCTAAGTTATCTGCCAATATTTATGAAAAGTATATTTGAAATAATCTTACTGATTGAAATTTCAAATAATTCGTAAGTTTGGTCCAGCAATGTTGTCAGGACTTCGTTAGGGTAACTTTCAATAGTCTTTGTGTATATATGCGCCCAAGGTTTTTGTTATTACCACTGAATTAATTTTTAAAAGTGACTTCTCCAATAAGTTTATCTAAACAATACAGGTTATACACCATATATCCAAGCACCCAGAAAAATAATCAAATCTCATTCTGATTTCCAGCCTTAACTGAATGTAGTATACAAGTGACAACAAGTTAAAATGTCATATTTTTTAATGAAATCTTACCTTGCATATTCACTCCTTACTTTATATGTAAATGTTTCTTGGTAAAATGTTATAGTCGGATTAAGAAATGGTGAATATTTTTCCAGATCATTCGATGGATATATGAGACGAAAATTCCCCATATGGCTATTTTCATATTTTTCACTTAATGCTTGATATTTTTCTATATCCCGTTCGAGTGAAAATCTATGGATACGTAGAATTAATAATAAGAAGCTAGTTAAAAATGTAAAAATTAATACAGAATTATTACTGATGATGCTGATAGTGAAAAACGGTTAGAGGAAACTTTAGTTACAATAGGATTTGAATCAGCTATGTTTATGACTGAGATGTAGGGGCTCAGCTATTGTTCGAAATTCCAGTGTATATAAAATACTCAAGATTTTATGTCATCATTTAAGTCCCATGAATGAATAGGTACTTCATTATTTACTGTTTTATACTAGATGATATACTGTTGTAATTGCTTGTAAAAAACTTTCAAAAAACGCAATTAAAAATCGATGATAAGTTGACGAATATTTTTAACTTCTTCAATAATTTAGTTGACTGATGTTCACTCAAGTTTATTTGTCAAGATATTTTACATTACACATAAGAAAATTCAAAAGGTTTGATGAAATAGGTTACGATTAAAAATATAGAAATGTTTAGAAACAAGTTCAGTATAGAAGGAAAAACAAGTTTTTGAATCCTCTAGACTAAGAATTATAGAGTGAGGTTCAAAGATATAAATAAGTGTTTTTAAACTAATGAAAGGTGTTTAAATCTTCTAATGGTTGGGGCTTTCATTAAACCGAAAACACGACTATGGAAATGTTGGGGGCTTTAGATCCCCAGAACTCGCTTGATAAATATCTTAATTTTGGATTTCATCCATGGGCTAATCAATTGACCTTGTACAAAGCACTAAACTAAATAAAGAATAGACCAGCAGATACTACTTTATCGCATAAGTTTTACTACACAACATTTAGTTATTTATCTATTTTTATTAGTGACATTTCCCACTGTTTTTAGTGCATATATTTATGGTGGATTTCCTTCTCTACTTGTTCATCATATACTATATATACCATACTATTATTTCTCTATAAAAGTTTGAACAGAAACAGAACTCAATATGTGTTGCTGAACTTAATGCACTGAACTGAAGCCTCAGAATGACTAATAAATTACATGCATCTTCAACGAACTATCAATTCTCTGGTAAACAAATCTTAATCAAAACAAGCGATATTAATAGTCCAAAGTCATTCGAACTGTCCAAAACAGTTGATTGTAATAGAATCGCTTAAAAGGTTGGTTGATTTTGAAGCAGTTATATGAATATTCTCGAAAGAGAAGAAATACCGTAGTTACTGTAGTTTAGAAAGAAGATGAATAAGTCGAGGTGTTCGTATTCAGTCCGAAACGGTGCATACATATTTAGAAAACAATTTACTCTAATAAACTTTAAGTAATATAAAACAGATTAGACGTAACGAAAAAATTCAGATTTCACGAAAACCTTATATTGTTTACATAATTTAATTACAGAATCAAACAGTATTTAAGACCATTTGTGAAAAGTTTAACTTTGATAGAGTTAAAATAACATAACACAGAATACATAGTTGATTGGTTATAACAGTAGCGACTCACTTTTGATATTTATCAATATTTTTGTGCATTAAACGATTTCGAATACGTTTTCTTTCTTCATCGCAACATTTCTTCTTACTAACTGCATTGAAATGTGCAAGTTGTACACTATCCCATAGCATAGCTTCTTTAATCTCTTTATCTAGTTTACTGTCTGTTGTGAAACTTGGTGAATGATTTACCTATTAAAATTACAGAAAAATAGATTATTTAATATTCCCTAGTTAAAATAATTTGAACATGTGTAAAGGATACCAAATCAAGTTAATTTACAGTAATGGTCGATGAATTCTAATGTAGGTAACATTACAATATTGGCCTCGTTTCCGTTTTTCCTTATGAAATTGGTTGTCTGCACTGAGTGAACATTTAGTATACACTTCACTTATTTAATCTAGATCATTTAGTATGAGACAAAGTATGCAACTAGGCAGTATGATTTGATCTGAAATTCATTTTTATAACTAATGATAATAATAACAATATTAATAACTAATGATAACTAGTAGGAAACAACTGTTCAGCCTATTCTATTTTAGAAAAAATTGTCAGCTGATATCAGTTTGTGGCAAAAGTTACTTTTAAAATAGCGATAATGCATAAATTCAGGTGAGAGAATGTTGTGATTACATTGTGGTCTTGAAATTACTATAAATTAAAACATTTGTTGATTGTAATTAACAAAGAATGAATGACAATTCATTCAATACATGTTATTCTCATTTTTATTTACGAATCAATCATGAACAAATCAAAAAAATATACTGACTAGGCAGATTATTCCATTTTCAAGTTTTATGTTGTTGATTACAACTAGGATTAGAAATCACTTAGCTGTAAGCAATTTAATATCAATTTTTATTTTCTTTTGAATTCCTCAGTAGTTCACTAGTCCAATCAACACAGAATTTAACTCAACATTCTTAGGTCTCACTAGCAGCATGATAATAGTGGTTTATAAACTTATAAAATTACTTGGCTAAATTTGATAAACGTTTCATCAAATTTTATTAATGTTTACAATTTTAACGTAATTTTCACTTGCTTCTAGGATATATGGCTTTAGTTTATGATTGAATATTATGTCAAAGCCGAGAATTTCAAAACACGCCGATGTTTGAATATGGTTTGGAAAACATGTTCGATAATTATGTCTGATCATAGGATAACCAGATAATATTGTTTTAATGATCACATCGTCTATGTCTTCCCAAATCTGAAAGAGTAAAAAATAAGTGAAAAATAAATCAATCATATGTTTTATTCAATATTAAATATAAGATACACCAAGCATTTCTATTGAGCCTTATTTAAGCAATTCGAAGAAAAGATATCTCAAAACCAACCAGTCGCTATTATTAGATTAAAAATAAATGTTTTCATACTTACTAATAGTTATTAACGAAATTTTAGAACATTCGAAAAGTGGATATTACTTAAAGGAACCTGGTTAGCATAGGCAATTCCCATAAACGACTGAACAGTGGTGAAAATAAACAAGGATTCTAGAGGAAAATGAGAAAAATGAGTCTTGTCCGAGTCTACTTAATTTATCGGAAATTCGCAGCTCCGTTTTATTAATATTGATCTATATATATATATATATATATATATATATATATATATATATATATATATTATATACACCACAAACTTTTAATTTATTTCTTTAGCTTACAGAGTGATCATAAATCGTATGCAGAAATAAACTTTACCAAATGACTTTAATCGATGCAGTATTGGACTACATACTGTGATGCAGGCAAACTTTCTCGTAACTATCATTTCAAGAATATATGACAATTTGATTGTCGGTATTATTGGAAAACATTTTATTCAAATTGAAAAGTCACTATCTTTTTGAAGGTCCCCCTAGTGTTAGAATAGTTTTCCTTTAATGTTTGTCATTTTTCTCGATGCTCAGAACGATAACTATGATTGAGCAGAACACTTTCCGTACGGTCAAGGCTGAACGTTAAACGTACAGGGTCTATCAAACTGGGTAAATTCATCAGCGTAAGTCAAACTAAGATGTTGGATTATATATTCTTTCACGTAACCGATATTGCTATTCTTGTGTATTAATGAATAATTCTGGAAGAAAATACCTAATCGGGTTATAATAAGATTACTTTTCAACTACCATATTAATTAATAGTAGTAAGCTGAAAACTGGTTCCATTTATATCATCTTAAACTAGTTACCTTATTCTATGATTACTATTCTGAGTTCAGTCACTGCATAGATTTTCATTTATTAGAGTTTGTTCTAAACATCAAAACTTCCATTTTGTTTTATTAATCTAAGAGTAGAAGTCATATATTAAGTAAAAAGCTACTATCATTGCATCAAATAAATTTATAAAACATTGATATTACTGTAGATAACCATCTCTCACAGATAAATTCAGTTTTGATAAGATATTCAATGGTGGAGAAAACTTGTAGCTCAGAGAACAAAACACCACCACAAGATATTCAATGCTTAACCATTCAAAAATGGTATTATTTACACCCACTAATATTTCCACAATATTTGATTGCAATATCTTTTCTTAAGTTTAACGGAAGTCACACCTTAAAATCCATTGTTAACAAAAGCGCTGTTCATATCATAACTTTTTGTAAAGTATAAATCAGAATCGAAAACAAAACTTTATTAGTATACTGATTATTGTTATTGTATCCAGATATCCTTTAAACCTGTAACTTTGCCAGGAGAGAAAATATCAGTTTTTATATTTATGGAAATGTGTGGGCAAAATAAAATTAACCCCAAGAAAGCTAAAACAGTTGTAAGTTATTTTACTAAGTCATGTCACCAGCTAGAGAACCGTAGGGAAGTAGTAGATAGTGAAGAATTATCCCATATTTAACTTACTACTACTCTTCAGGAGTTTTTCCAATTGATGGAAATAATAAATAACTGATAGTACTGAATGGTGACTGTGATACATCATGTATTATTTGAGAATTGAAATATAAACTTCTTTATTCAGACTTAAAAGCCTAATGTGCTATTGTGTTTTTGAAGAGTTCTGGCCCTTTGCTTCGCATTTATAAAAGATTTTAAAGTCGGTTTCAGTTCCTGACAAGTAGCATCTTAAGGTTCGCATAATTACCTTAGTAAATACTGAATATACCCATGTGTAAATATATCTATGCCACCATGTCTCCTTCAACCATTGCTCAAAAATCCTAGCAAACACTAAAAATTATAAATCTTAGTGAGAAACGGTTACGGAAATTCATATCATATACAAAACCATAATTTTAATGATAGTTAAATTATGAAAACAATGTTGCTGAGTCATCCAAATATATCATCTTTTCATGTTCGCTCTATCATTTGGGAAACATTTATCTGCCGGATATTAAAAATCTCAGAAGTATTACTTTAAGTAATCTCGGTATTATTTTAATAATTGGGAATGATAAAATAAGAATTGGAAAATTAATGAATGAATAATTTTACTAATCCCGATGTTATTAATTGTATGAATGACAAAAAAATAACTACCATTGATGCGTACTACTTTTAAACATCTAGAGTATGATGTTTGCAGTGATATGCAAAACTTATCATAAATATTCTAACATGATTATAGTAAGATTATTAGTGACAGAAATATTTAACCTAAATATTTGAAATCTTTAAAAAAAAACAACAAAAAACTAAACAATGATGAGATTATTAGTTGTAACTGTTCTCTCTAACTGATTAACAAGAAAATGTTATGAGATGATTGAAATAAAGCTAATTGTGACAGTAAAATTTAACAATGAATATGACTATTACTTAAGAACAAAAGAAAACTATCCAATAAGTAAATAAATAAGTTTTAAGGGCTAAAAATAAACTGAAAAATGTAAAAAGTAAACAAAATTTATCACTTTACTATGTCATTATAGTTCTCAAAAGCATTGAAACAAAGGATAAACAAACACTGGAAAGGAAGGTTAACAGAATAACAAGATGGGAGACATGAATTAACAGAGATTAAAGAATAACTCATTGTATTTTATGATGATGAAAATGTTTTTCTATTTTGAGAATGTAAAAAAAAATGGATGTAATTGGATCATTCTGAAATAATGCAAAATCACTAGTTTTTAATAACTAACTGATTGAAGTAGTTGAGCTGTTAATTTTTTACACAGTAGATTATTTCAAGAATACTATTTAATTTACTGGTCATATACGAAAATTAATTTCTGAGTCACTGATAAAAAGTGATCATTTTTACACAGACTTACCAATTTACATAAAATATACAAGATTTAATTTAACAGCTAGTCAGTCTGGTCACAAGATTGAACATAATCGACACTCATCAATGTTAAAGTTTAACTTGATAAATTCAAACAAAATAAGCGATGAATAGAGCAAGTCAGTAGTAAAAAAGTGATATAATTATGATGTTCCAACGAATAGAAATTTAGATTTCTTATGTTTTGTAGCTTAGTGTAAGCCATTTCTTCAGAGGAAATAAATCAATAACCCGATTAAATTAGCACAAGTTTGAATTTGTGTTGACTTGATTATTTATATCACTTTGCAGAAATGGCCTACACTGGATCACAAAATGTCAGAAATTCAAATGTCTGCTTAGTGGAATATAATAACATATCAATTTATTATAATTAGTATCCATCTGATATGGATATATTTACTTGAAAAAGTTCAAAATATTAAAATGAAGGAAGCAGTTATTTCCAATTGGCAGTCATAAATATATCGCTTTTTCGATTTCTATTTTTCTCTAAATGCATTAATTAACCGCTAGGGTTCAATAGAAATGACTTACAGTGTACTATATTTGTTATCTATTTACCTTCCAAGAATCCCTTAGTCTTCATTATCAAACGGCTTTTAAGTTTTTAACCGTCCACTTATATATTCCTGATTTGCGTATAATTTACCACTGCACACTTCAACATAATGTCACTTAATTACATGTCAGATCTGTGTCCCTTTTGTTGAACGTTTGACTGATTTCTTTTTTGCCAAACCTACGTTTCATTGTAATATGAAGCGGCAGCTTTAAAGTTTATAGAGTTTCAGGAATCCATTACAGAAATTTCGCCTATACTGTGTTTAGTAGCGTGGGCTGTAAACCACTCAACACAAATTGGCTGTCTGGATTCAGTAGCTTAGTGGATAACCTGTTGAGATTTGGAGCTGAAGGTACTTGGCTCGAATTTCATTCCGAAAACCTACACTCAGATGATGTATTTAGCCGAGATACCCTTAATAGGCAGAAAAGTGTTTTGGAAGTAGGTAGGAGAGAGTCCTCTGTCGATTACCTCTAGCCACCTAACAAGCATTGTTCTATATTTGAATCAATAAAAGCGAGTTAACTAGCAGTTAATCTATGCAATAGCTAAAGTCCATAGCGAAAAACACCATTCACTTAAAAGAAAATGAGTTCATATATTACTTAGTATTCATTTGAACTGACTTTCATATCTAAATCGTTATTTGTTTCAGCACGTGATTATAAGAAAACAGAGTGAGAGAAGTGATAAATAATAATTGACCAATTGAAAAATTATGCACAAAAAGTTCATCATGACGTATTGATTTCGAATACAAATTAATATTAATTTAATACATCCATCCTTGGTTAAAAATTTTAGAAAACAATGTTGGATTTCACATGATCGGAAATGAAAATGACAATAGGTGAAAAATAAAGCCTCATCTATACCGAGTTACTGATCATAATAAGGAATGTTTTAAATGTTAGAAGAGAGCAGCTAATTAAGAGTTCTAGACCTAGTTGTAGGAAATCACCGATTTGGATTAGACGACAGACATTTATTTTTACATTATAATTCAACTTTGCCAACTTCCTTGAACTCCAGAACACCTAAAGATTTTTCTATTAATCTTAATTTTAACGTTACATATTTTTTGATCTTGTTTTGTTTGAGCTATTTCAAGATGCTTGGATTTATAAAAGTTTCTACATCAGTGTCATTTTTTGCTTGGACTGATTCACGTAGTTAAGATTTTTAAACTGACAACAGAGCTATTATAAATAACGTGTTAGTATCAAACTTGTGTGAATATATGTTTTATCGGAAAATTAGATAAAATAGTTGATTGTTAGATTATTGACACATTGAACCATACTATGAATATATATGGAAATATTTTATTTTAGAAATGATTTGACTTATAAAGTTCATTTGATCTTTTATCAATGCTTTTAATGTTTTTTTTATCTGAGAGTAAACGAGAAGTGTAAAAAATTTTCTAGAACATTCGAAATATTTATAAGTTAGATACTATTTGAAAATGCCATAAAAAATATGTAAAACTTAGTTGAATAATTTTGTTTCTCAATACATTCGAAACGAACCAAGCAATTTAATCAATCAAATACAGTTTGATTTATAAGAAGGACTTAACAATCATAAACATTTAGTAATTATTATTATTGTGTTATTTTCACTACTGGTTATTAACAGTGTAAACTTGTATGTTTAAGTCATACTGAACTGCCTTGTTTTATCTGTGGCATTTAATTACATATAGGTACTTTTGATGAATTTTTTTTCATTTTCCTAATATACTATGATGTTGATTTTGTTTTATACGTGACTCGTCAACTGAACGTACTGACAGCTTGGCCTTGATTTCTGCATCAATATTTCAGCCCAGAGCCGACTATTTTAAATGTTAAAGCTTTATTTACTGGTCTGTCAAGCTATGGTAGTTGTATACAGACCGCATTGAAACATGTATATGACTATGTGTACTAAAAGGAATCGAGCGATTCAGTCCAAAATATCAATAATCAAGAAAATACAAACCCTTACAAATATTAGGTAATACCGTGATGGTCGAACAAGGTGATGATTGTTTTGAATTTATAGTCTAGTGAGTATCACTAAGGAGTTTAAAAGGATCAATATTTGTCTTCGTTTCACCAGCACATGGGTACAAATATAATCAGCTTACGTGTATAGATTAGGAGGATTCCGCAATTAGCCACGAGAGGAAAATACAATTTATTGATTATCTTTCTTTGAATATTGAAATAATCACTCACATAAGAGCACCTATATCATCATTAGTTCGTAGCTCAACATGTTGAGTTGAGGCTCCTCATTCATGTTTATGCCAAAATTACTAAATCAAACATATAGACACAATGGTTTACCATACTTGCTGTTTTATAGCAAATAAACTCTGTAGGATATGATGCAGCTGAATACTGTGTTTGGTTTTGCAACTGGTTGGTTTATCTGCTACATCTCGAAAGTAATTCTGGTCAACACTTTGTGTTGCGTTACTTTCCTTGTGGTTTTAGCGATTCTTAATAATAAACACAAAACCTTTTATACCAATTAACTGTGACTATGTTTCATTTCTGGTGACAATAGTATCTAGTTTTAAACTATGTTAAGATGAAACGAGATAAAAATAAACGCGTCAATGCACTTATAAAATAACACGTTCTTAACTAAAAACGTTTATTTTACGGCAATCTTTTTAACAGTATAAATGAAGTGCGTGGATATATTTTCAAGACGTTTTAGTTTGGAAAGTTAGTAATTTGATTTGTTGATTTGTTGCTGATCAGGAGAAATTTTATTAAAAATCACCCTCTGAAATTGGTCGTTAAGTTAGTTTTACTCTACTGGCTCAATTTTGATTGCTTACATTCAGATCATATGTTTAGACTGTATCCCTTAGTGATCATGTAATATATGAATAATAATGTTACAGTCAGGTTAAAAGTACTGATCAACTTCACACTGAGGTTCTTACCACCATCGAGATTTTGTGGTGATTATTAAATTAAACTATTAAATTTTCATTGCCCGTATCACGAATTGATTTAATTTATACCACCACTAAGAACGAAGAATGACTGAAATGATATCATATTTCAGTATGAGAGTACTTAGCAGTGCGCACTCACGATCCCACTGCCTGGCGTTGAACTTTATCCATTGAATTCATGGATGAATGCCTAACCTCTAGACAACTAGACCGAAATGCAATGATGTATATGTCCAACTTTCATAATTTTATGAAATCATACTATCTTCTTCTATGGCCTGTAGTTAACAACTGTCTCATACCGTAAATGGTTAAGTTTTGATCAATAGCTTAATTATTTGATGTTGATTATTTGTTTAAGTCATGTAATTTAAGTAGTACACAACTTAATTTATTTTCAAATTTTATGGCTGGTGAGTGATAATGTACTTTTATTGAACCCTTTTCTTTATCTTTTTCATAGGAGATTTTGCCTAATTGACATATGAAAGTAAAAGTTGATAGACAGCGAAGAAAATAATTTGAACTTTTCATTCTTCATTTAAATGTATAAATAAACTTGCATAGCAAAAGAATTTTATATCTATAAGTCTTTGCCAAAGATCTTTACTCCTAAATGAACTCGTCTATTTTGTAGGAATTGTGGTGTTTACTACAGGAAATTTACAAATAGCTATCAACATTTCATTGTTCGACACATTATTCGTCTAATGGTTATAGTATTGACAAAATCGATAATGAAAATCAAACATGCTTTAGAGGAAAGACTTATAAACAGTGCAATACAAAAAGCAAACATAACGAATGGACGGTTAGCTTCTTGTTTGTCTAATACTCATCACAACCATTTGTCTAGAATCTTGGGAAGCTTCACACTTTTAGTGAAATTCTAATTTGCATTCCTCATCTCACTATGGCACATGACTCTTGTCGTGGTTCAAAATAAATGGAACACTTGGAAAACAGAAAAAAATACACGAACCAATCATTAGAATCCATACATTCAGCAGTATGAAGATATAGATTCGATAAAATTATGAAAACAGTATGTGTTTAAGATTATTGAACATTAGCAGTATAACAAGTTACTAACCTTTTTCACATCATAACCATTATCTGTAAACCATCGATTAAGTGTTGTAATTCGGCGTTTTGTTCCGCCTTCTTCATCATCTCTGATATAACCGTCGCTGTGTTTTTGTACAGCATAATTGGTTAAATGCATATACATGTCATGTACATTACGTTGGTTTGGTTCACTATATGGATTTGTAGTAAAACGTACTAGGCCATCTTTAAATACGAATAAACGTAATGGGTCACATGATGTAAGCAGAACATAAATTCTTAAGTCAAATTTATATCCGTTGATAAGAAAAGGCTAGAAAGTAAATTTAATAGTGAAAAAAAATAAAAACACTTATATTTGACAAGAAAAATCGTGTTCATACCATAGAAATTCTTAGCTTGTTTAACAGTCGACTGACTACTATTAGAACAGTTACAGTTACGCACTGACGTACAAAAACTTCTGGAAGTCCATTTAGTGAAAAACTAATAGAGAGTTTCTCATATGCTACAGAGAATAAAGTTTTCTTCCATTTGTATATTATATTAGTCTTTCTCATGTATTATGGGACTAAATCTTTTACTTCAGCCAGTTGACTGATATTATCATACCTAACCAAATAACATTAAGCTTTCAAAAATTAACTTTAACAAAATCATATTTATTAACAATCCATCTTTCTGGTTATTGATTCATGTTAATTCAGTGATTCAATACATTTATGTCACATATCTTGAGAATGTATGAACCAAATAATTAGGCTGCTGAATAATTGCTGTTAGAAATCATTATATCAGATAAATATCTTAGTATTATTTCTGAGGGTGGAAATAAATAACATCGGTCGAGTGGTTTCATGGCGATATTAGACTTATGGCTGCCGACTTACCGAAGCATTTTTGATTAAGTCATGTTTGTCAGTAACTATTCTCTTAATTGATTACTTTAAACATCCTCTACCAGAGTTGTCTCCTTTCCTCCATGATATTTAATTTCCATTTGTTTTGATTTTTCAAGTGTTATTAATTATTTGGCTTTTTGAGTGCACACTCTGAGAAGAAACATGATACAGATCTGCATGATAAGGACGTTGACAAATGTAGCTTTACTAGTGTCATAATTGGTAATACAAGAATGTTTGAAATGTATTAATCTAGGACTAGCCTAAATCAAAGCTTAGACTGACAATAAAGAATTTAACAACTAAATATATTGAGTTCTCCATTTATCTTGGAAGTTTCATACGATCTAGCGAGCTGGAGATTACTAAAATCTGTTAGCGAACTCTCTTACACCATAAACGACTTAGAGCTCTCTTTACTAGTCGAAATGATAACAATGACGTATTGACGATTTCATTTTCTGAATACAGTTCTTTACAATAAATTGTTTCAGTATCGAGAATTCCCTGCATGCATGCAATTCAAATTTTAAATTTTTTACATCCTTTGGAATATTTATTTGATCTTGCTCTGATTAATCAAAAGGTTACTCAGTTTGCAAAGCTTACTATCATATCTGACGAATTACTTGACGATTTATCAAGTTTTTTTTTCAGTTAGTTCGTTTTTACCGAGATAGATTTTTGTTTTGTTTTGTCTGATTATATCAAGTAAGCATACATAAATAAGAAGTCACCAACAACCAAATTAATAAATGTTATTAATATAACAATAATAACAATAATGAATAATCATAATCACCTTAGCTATGTATACTTGACAAATCATATTTTCCACTGGGTGAATATCTTTAACATTTTTAGTGATATAAATACCACGACCTTGACATCCGTTATCTGGTTTTATAATGAACGTTTTACTTTTATGCTTTCTGGCATAATTTTGAACTTCATTCCAACTAAAATAAATCAAGAAAATGTCAACTGAAGACAATAACAGTCGCTGATATTTTATAGTTTGGAATATTTTGATCAATTTCTGCGAAAATTCGCTATAAATTCAATTATTGGGAGAAATTTAGAAATATTTTGCGAGCTCTTTAACATAGTTTTGGATTTTCAAATATTACAAAAGTAAAATATTTAGATTGTAAAGGGATTAGTCCAGTTGTTGAAACAAGCTATCTAACCTCAATGATTGATATTTTAATATACACTCTGTGAACTTGTTTTAGGCTATATAGTCTGGGTTACTAAGCTGAAGTATGTTGACATATTCCACATGCGAATAGTTGTACAATATTACGAATGCACATAAACTACTAGAGTTTTATATAATAAATGATAAATGAGGAATATTCCCACCTAGATGCATAAAGGTTTGCTAGTGACGTAGTTTGGTTGTGATGAAAACTACAACGACTTCTTTTAAAAACAAGTTATTAAGTACGCTATAATTTGGTGTTAACATGCAATAATAGTAAAGTTGAACTTACTCTGATGGTAGACACCAAGTTTTCGGAAATATATTATAGTCTTTAGGAAATAATCTGAACATTCGTTTTAAATTACGTGCTAAATTATCTTTCCGACATATTTCGGACATTCCGGGAAAATGATTAATTTTCTATTAGTTTGGAGAGACGAAAAAAAGAAATTCAAGTTTAATCACTTGTTTATTTACATTTCAAATCAGTTATAAAAATACATATTATTGGGAAAATCAAAACTAGAGTGCAGATTAGTAAACGTGTTAGAAAAATATTCACGTTTTAATGTTGGAGCTGTTGTCAACTTAGGTTTACTTAGATCAGCTGTATGCTGTGTGTACTAGTGTTAGATAGGTAATATTAACAACGGGTTTATTCTCGGAGTTTTAAGCTGTCTCCCCTTATTCGTTATAATGAGCTTAAATATATAATATCAAGATGGTTACCTCATTTAAATAAGAGAAATCCAGTGAAATCCGTGAATATCTAATGAAAATATGAAAATTTAGTTTTACTTCCATTAGCATGAGGACATTAGATACCGAAATTCAAGGTTTATGTTTAAAACAATCCACCTGAATATACCGTTTCATTAGACTAATTGTTTCATGACTGATCAATTTCTGTGCACATAACTTGGGCGAAATTAAAATATTTTCACGGTGCAGTACTCATGAACACTGTGCATATTACTTCACAGCAGAACGCCACATATCATGCAATAGACACCTACATTTGTTACCATAAGAAATCTTAAGGCATTTTGTCAAGATCTACAGATTTTGACGGAAAATTATCAAACTTTAGTTTCGACTGCCATTGAATGAAAAATGCAAACTCTCGCAAAGAATGATTGGCTGAATAGCAGATTTCTTGATGGTTTCACTATAAGGATTGTTGTATCCTGTTAATGACGACTATTTATTGGTAGTTTCAGTCACACTTCTTTAACTTGTAAATGATTTAAACTATGAATTTTAAAAATGAAAACTTGTTATAGTATTCAGTTTCTTATAAATCGCCTTCAACTTAACAAACTATTATTGATGCTACTTTGTACTTGGATTGTAACTAGATCTATGATAACTTAAACTTACATACTACTGTTAATATAACCTTTCTTAAAATTACCTACAAGTCGGTTAAAAAAGTTATTGTGATATTAGTTATAAAACGACAAATCACAGTCACAGCTTAAAATTAACTATATATATTTTAGTCGTTGTGAACAGTATCAGTTGGCCACACTTTGTCACAAACATACTCAAGTCATCTATACCATTATTTTGATGTTGCATCTTATTTTTTGAAGCGAACTAATTGTAGTTTAGTTGGAACAGTCACGTGATATAATTCATGATTATAAAATAGGTGTGATTTATATTTTGGCATTTTGTACCAAATGTTTGTCCCACAATTTTTATGCTATTAAACACGACGTTTATTTACCTTTAAATGCCAAAAAACATTCGTTAATTGTGGAATTTTGTATTTGAATGACCTTAATCACACAAGTACTTAAATATAAGATGTACTTGTTTTATTGTATCGTCGTAAATGTAACACTTGGATTCAAATGACAAATGAACCAAATTTAAGGGAATAATTATGCTAATTTTGTTTGGAAAACGTGCTTATTTTTTGCATAAGAATAGTATTACTTTTTGCATAATTATTTTAATCCGTAAAGATCGAAAATACAGGGTGCCAAATCTGAAAGAGACTTAATATACATACTTTAAAGAGACAGTAGATTCCATTGGTTGAATCAGAAGATAATGATGGTTATTTGAGTCTAACCATATGGCTAAGTGCAGATTATATCATCAACCTTCTTCGAGAAGGTCATTCTTTAGGCAAGCCCATACTACAACTTCATTTCAAGTACATTAAATTGAGCATTTCATCCTTTTCCCATCTGGCCTGTTTTGTCCTATTTTCCGTTTGCTTCTGTTATGTACGTATATATTTCATCAGATTATTTCCTTTGTAACACTCAAATTGGCACTAAAAAGCAGACTCCACTTCACATACTGGATATGAAATAACTGTCCAACATCCAAACTATATCAAGTCATATTAATCAAAAAACTTTTATGTGGCAGTTTGAATTATCAAGAAATTAGGGTGTTTACAGGTGTCTTAGCATAGGTCTCGTCATAGATCCAGATTAATGTGAATCAAAAATGACTGTAATGGAACACATTCAGTATTTCTTTTGAAAAAATCGAGACAGCTCTCAAACTGCTTAACAGCTAAGTGTTAAATAAACAATTTTAACTCAGGTGGGGATTCCACTCGCAAAAATTTAAAATGATGAAAATATTTTCTGTTACTTTGAAAGTCACAGTATATGAAAGCCGTTACTTCTATTTCATCGGCAACTATCATTCGTTTCACAATAGCGTTTTGGCACTTACCTGCCACTGTTTCATGGAAAAGACCTTATCTAGAGTAACCGAATAGTCGGTCCAATAAAGACACCAATCTTCGTCATCGTCACTTTCTCGGAAGCCAAATCGTTTCAGAACTCTACGTACTAAAATAATAAATAAAATTAATTCACATAATCTGGAAGAAATATTATGAAACATTCGCAGTCAAAGGTTTTTAAGTACCGAGAGTCTGAAGAGAGTAAACTGAATAAAAAATCTCATACTTCGACATCTTTAATCTACATAGTTCAACTCAAGTGATGAAACAATTTTTGTAGACAGTCTATTTATTTTACAGTCATACTGGTTTGTTTAATTTAATCAACCAAGGTAAAATGCTGAAATATATGTATAGACATAATTTCTACCAAGCTGTTTGCCCAAACTTTGACGACCATTCATTAAAATACTAAATAGGATGCAATTTCTTCAGAAATGCTACTCATAAACCAGATCTGTTGAGTGATTGTTGATATATAATGTTGCTAGCGTTTATTTCGTTACGTTTTCCAAGCTAAAACATAGTTTACAAGTGCGTTTAAGATTTGAAAAAGTGATTCAGTTTTCAATCTGGTTTTGCATGTACTTAAGTGTTTTGTATAAACGTTGAAACTTTAAAACGTTTAGAGCCAAAACAATGAATTCGTAAAGCTTTCACTTTTTAGCTGCTAAAGGTATGTAAAAGTAGTAAGAAAAACAAAAATACTTAAAACAAACACTAGTGCAACGTGAATGATACCGAGCAACATTTTGAACGACTGAACAATATCGAATAAAGGATTCAACTGCTGACTTTCCTCAGAAATTATCAAACTAAAGAATGGGCCTTTAAATTTCTTTCTGATTTAGTACCTGTATTGTGCTGGTCACAAATTAAAAGGAGATAAACGCATCAATCGGAGTAGTCGGAATTTATCGTTCCATCAACTTATCTTTAGGCCAATTAATAATCAAAAACAATATTTTACCCAACTGTTCCATTAAAGTTAAACAGAACTTGTGCCAAAACCAAGTAAATGATCATAATTTACCTAATTTACTCTTTTTAAGGACCATATCTATATCGTTATTGTCAGTAGATCCCGAGCCTTAGAATCGCTTAGTGAAACATTCTAGATGGAATAAGCTATATGTTTAGTAACCATTTTTCAAGATATCTGTTTTGCTAGTTGTTAGATCAAAATAAGTCGTAGGTAGTTTAACATATATATTGGATATAGTATCAGACTTCACTGAGCTAAATATTACAAGTCTCCGGAACCATGAACAGAAAACAATGTAGCGATTTATCTAGACGCTAACAGCGTGTCATATGTGCAGCTTATCCATTTTCTTTCCGATCTAAAGTTAGCATCTGTGTGAGAATCAAATTTATCAGGAATATACATCTATCTTCCAGCCTGGTTTTGAAACTGGGCTGTAATGATCGAATTTAAATAATAAAAAATAGACTTTTTTCAAACAATTACATCAACATATATTAGTAAACTTCAAGAGGTTTTTAATGGGCACAGCCCAAAACGAACCTGATTCATATTTACAGTTTGTGAGGTTGACAACGAGCTGTCTGAAAAAAAACATGAGCCAGTTGGTAAATTGTGAGATTACCGCTTTCTTCTTTTTTTCTTACAAACTTGACCGTCACCTATAACTGGGGATTTACATCGAGTTTCAAGTCTATTTAGCACGGCTTCATCTATCACGACAAGCAATATTATAAGACATACGTGATGATCGTTCAGCTTCAATGTGGTCGTCGTACGAACCTGTGTTGATTTCATTTTTATCTTCTTGATCTTCAGGAGGAAGAATAAGTACGTCTTCTGCATCGATTAGTTCAAGAACAGGCCGACAGTTATCAGGATTGTTATTAGATTCTGCCTGATCATAGTCTTCTAGCGTGCTTTCATCATCAGAGGATGTATCTTCGGGTGTTTTTACACATAGTTCTGAGTAGAAAAATTCGGGACTAGCCATATTTATAATCTGTTTAATTAACAGAATAATGACTAATATTTCATACATTTACACGAAGTGTATCATCGAACGGAGTTTAATAAAACCTTATAAAAGTGTAAGTTTATTGTTTTTTGTCAGTTTTTTCATGAAAACGAGTCCACGTTAAAGGATTAAATATGTGCCGAAATTATATTGTGCAGCGTTACAACTGACCTTAGCAACATTCATCTTAACAAATATGTGAAAGTTCAATAGCCAAAATCTTTTTTAACGAGCTAGGATAGACCAGTTAGTTTCTTTGCGCCCAATTTTTATTCTTTTGGAACAGCAGCAGGTACCTACTAGTGTTCGGTGGATAGTAGTCTAGCAACTCGACTTCACTATATCTAGTCATTTGGCAGTTGTTTGGGACTGTGTATGTTCTGTTATTTGCATGAGTGCGCTTGTTTCAGGGCGGTAGAATTTCTGAATGTCAGCGGCTTTCATTTTATCAGGTCGAAGATCTGTTACTTGAAGTGTGGAGAATGATAATAATAACAAAATTATAATGCTATTAGAATGAAGATTTCGGTACGATGTAGATAAACGTATAAATAAGTTAATTAATCGGTAGTGAAGATTGTGCGAGAGGACCGGAGTATAGGATTACCTCTAGGTGAGTGATTTTGATGCATTAGTAAGGTGCTCACTTTGGGATGATTTGGTGTAACTAATATGTTACACGCCATAATCAGCTCACCTCTGAATCTTAACTCAAAGAGAATAATCCTAAGTGTTGGGGTCTATTTCCTTAGGTTTTATTCTCAACCGTATCACCTATTTCGTTGCTCGTCTATGCACTTGATCCAACAGATTTATATCACTCTTGAGGAGAGGAGGTGAGAGGTTGTGAACCTCAAGGTGTGCACGCACATGTCCTAAAAAACCTTAAGAATAATTCAGGGTTGATAGCATCAAGTTATCTTCGCATAAAGTGAAGAGTAACATGGGCCTTGACTGCGTCTTTATCGTTCGAACTGGTGTGGAGGCTTTCAGTGGTTATAAAACCGAAATCGCGCTCTGGAGCGACATTATGAACAGACTTCTATTAGGGGTATAAATAGTCCTGTGGGACAAAATGCACATAACGTAACATTTCAACTGTTTAATTTTTAAACCGTTTTTTGACTGCCCATTCCCTAATAGGTGTAAATTCTTTCAGAAGCTCAGTCGAATCCTCTTCGATTTTAATGGACTTCTAGATCTTTGCATCGTATGCATAGATCAATGAGGCTTACTATGTCTAACAGATCGTCGATGAATATCAGGAACAGAAGTGGAGCTAAGATGGCCCTCTGTGAACCCCATGATGTCGAGACTCACAAACTCGCGTGCACTCAATTTACCTTGGCGTGAAACTTTCTATTTTGCAGGTATTTTCTGAACCAAGATAGGAGTGGATCAGTGAAGCCCACTTCCGCAGTTTTCAAAATTAAGAGTGAGTCAGGAACTGTTTAAAAGTCTTTTTCAAGGTCTAGAAATATTATGTGAAAGGGTAATTTTCGACATCCGTTGCCTACTGCCAAGTAAAAACTACTGTTGAAATCTTTCATAGAGACCTTCCACTTTTGCAATGCTCTTCTTTTTGCCCGTAGCAACTTTTCAGTGCATCGCTTAATCCTTGTTCCCGATTTGCTTGAGTTACAGTGTGTAGGAGATCGTTTGAAATGATTACGTGTAATAGATGTACTCTTATGTGCGTGCGACTTGTCGTAATGTAGCCAAGTTAGAGCTCGTTTTCTTCTCACGTCATTATTTGGTTTGTAACCATGTTAAACATGTACCAAGGTCAGTACTACTTATTAATGCAGGGATATGGACATCCTCGACCAATAGTTAGTAATTTGTTAACAAATAATCCTAATTCGGGGATTTTCCATCCTTAGTCCATCTAGTGCCGTAACATTCATCCTCAGTAGGTCGGAACATTTGATGGTTATGCCAAGTCGCCTGTGAAACGGACCTGCAATTATTGTATCCCGTTTCCTGAGATATAGACAGAGAGTGTCGAAATCTCCATCAAAGAGTATTAAATCAAACCCAGGGAGTGACAGTTGCAATATTGCTTCAATTAACTGTTGTATCATTACAATAAAGTATTTTTAGCCAGTTTTGTTGCAGCAACAGACGCATGTTTTGGCCCTATGGGTTAGTCAAGTATTGTTTAGTGCTTGACCGTGAGATAACTGGTAATATTAACAGCCAATAGCCCTGCGGTTTTGTGAAACGTATCACATTAGAAGAATGTAATGCATTTCGTATTCCAAAATTGTCCTCGTACAGCCATGATTCAGTCGGAATTATGACCCTCAAATATACATGAGAGTTCGTTCCTCGAACACTAAAAATCTCAGTTCTATTTATTGCTACGGAGCAGCTGATTAGTTTTCCCATCAACACCTAGAGTAGGAATTCTAGATTTCTGAAGGCCAAAGTAATCAGACGCCGTGACTTAGTAGTCGTTAACTGTGACAAGCGAGGCAACCCGGAAACGTTAATCATTATGGTGGTGTAAAGACGCAGGTTGTGTGATAGCCACCATTATTTTTGCATTTTGTGTGTGTGAGCTTCATCCAAGCTACAAGCAACCTGTGAACAAACAAGTTGGTCTGTTCTTGGTTGCCTTTTGAAGTCCTGGCAGCTGCTCATTCTGGGAACGGTTTGCCGTAACGGACTCGGATTAAGGAGAATAATATGGCCGATATATCAGAAAGGAGGAGAGCATTCGATCGAGACAGCCAGGTCTGTTTCATAGCAGTTCCACTTAGCTGTGATTATGGTTGTCTAATTTTGTATTTTGACTGTCTACCAATGAAGGAAGATGAAGTCTTTTCTACAGAACAATGGTCGAATGTTCGTATCTTGGGCCGAATACTGCAATGCTTTTCGTAATTTATGAGAGGTCAACGAGTACCCTTCAATTACGAAGCGGGCGGATTGAATTCCTAAAGATAAGAGATAATCGAAAACTTAATTACTAGGCTTTACGCAGAGGAAAAATACTTCCAGAATGTTAGACAAAACATTGTACCATAATGTCGTGACTTAAGGTGATACCGAAGTTATTGTTCGAAATACTTCACCTTCATGACCCTCACGTTCATATAACTTTCGTAGACCTTATATCAGCTATAATCAATATACTTAGTAAGTAAGATCATAGTTTGACATGATGTACACGCACTATGAATGATGATAACATGCTGAGAAACATGGACAGTTTTGCCTAAAGTATTATCAAAAGACCAACAAAAGCATTTCAGTAACGGATGAGGAACTGACGTTCTTGATATGGCCTTAAGTGGGAGAATTCAGCTTAGGCTTTTAGAAGAGTGAGTGCAGAACAAATAAACATCTCGGATCTTTGACAACTTCAGCAATTAGCACGATCCGATACAGACTGGTATGTGCCTAGTAAGATTCTGTTCAGTGAGAACTCCCACTGAAATTTCACACCAATTTCATTGCTGGCTTCTCATTCCATGTGTTGCAGACTTTTCATTAGAGCTGTTTGAAGTTCCAATTGTTCTTGTTAATAGGATATTTTGGTTCAATAGCGCAGACAGAACTAAAGCCTTTGATAGCGTGATTGTCTTTATTTAGGAGAACCGAGATTGAGAGGCATTCAATCAAAACCTTTTACTCTAGAAGATACGGCTCAAGCAGGATGGAATTTAATTGCTTGTCCACCGAGAAGCAGACATAACATTTTCATATGATCCCAATTCTACATTGTAACTGAATAACTGAGCTTTAATAAAGATATATGTTATACTTTACATGTGATCAGCCAGGTCAATTTTAGGAAGCTTGAAATCTCCGAAACTTAAGATGCGAGTGATAATAATGACATTAATATTTCATCTACAAACAATATCTCGCGAAATTTCTTTGGGATGAGACTGCGTCCAGAAAATGGTTTGTCCGGCGGCATCACCGGGTTCACCTCATATTTTGGCCGACCGCTCGCAAGAGAGACAGCAACCACACGAGCATTCCTGCTGAACTTTAAACGAAGTAGTTTCGGATGATTTTGATGTGCGGCATTGTTGACCCATGAATGGCGTGTAATCAGTAGTGAGTCATTTATGCGCAGTTCGGGCTCTTTGTTTGTCTCTTTCCGAAACATCCTCTCGCTTTTGTTGTGCTCCGTCGACGAAAATGCATTCACACTCAGTAGAATTTTAGTAAATCACAGTTGAATTTGAAGTCGTATGACAGGGGACAAAACTTTGCATACAGAGTTTAACTCGGTCGGTGTCACAAGGCTGATGAGTTTCAGCATGTTCTTTCTGAAAGTCGTGCCCGACTCATTATTACCGACGCTATCAAAGACTGCTTCCCTTACCTCCCTTCGAGCCTTAGATTGCGCTGTGTAAAACCTAGTAATTAAGTTTTCGATTATCTCTTATCTTTAGGAATTCAATCCGCCCGCTTCGTAATTGAAGGGTACTCGTTGACCTCTCATAAATTACCAAAAGCATTGCAGTATTCGGCCCAAGATACGAACATTCGACCATTGTTCTGTAGAAAAGACTTCATCTTCCTTCATTGGTAGACAGTCAAAATACAAAATTAGACAACCATAATCACAGCTAAGTGGAACTGCTATGAAACAGACCTGGCTGTCTCGATCGAATGCTCTCCTCCTTTCTGATATATCGGCCATATTATTCTCCTTAATCCGAGTCCGTTACGGCAAACCGTTCCCAGAATGAGCAGCTGCCAGGACTTCAAAAGGCAACCAAGAGCAGAACAGTATGTGTAAACACATGACTTGTGTGACAGTTTCCGGATCCATGTGTTGTAGCTTGCAAGGACTGTCAAAGTAAATTTTTTCAGGTTATGTTCATGCAAACTGTTTTTGCTACTTTTCTCCTTCGAACCCTATGTCGTGCGTTTCTTCCTCTTTACATTTTCTCACTGTCTACGTTTTATTCTATGCAGTAGCATGTACTGTAATTGCGTTGCCTCTAGTC